AGACGACCCCCACCCCGTCCCCTCCCTCGACTTCCACGAATCCGCGCCGTCCCGGAGCAGGGACGCGGAGCCGCTGGGACACCGCCCCCCGGCTTTCCCCCAGCGGGACCCTCACCCGCGGCCCCTCGTTCTCTCCGTCCCGTGTCCCTGCCCCGAGTGCTACTTTGGAGAAGCCCTGGCCCCCAGCTCCGGCTGCGAGCCCTGCTCCTGTCGTCCCGGCAGCTCCTCGGCCCCCAACGTCTGCTGGAAAGTGGAGCCCCCTCCCCACGTCCCTCTTCCGGCTCCCCTTCCACAGCGCCGGAGCGTGGTCCCCGGGGACTTCCCCACCGGCTGGCTCTGTGCCCCTTGGGGGTCTCCCAGACTCACCCTTCACCCACCCACCCCGGGGCACCTCCTTCAGAGTGGGAGGAGGCGCAGGGGGGGGGGGCTCTCCGTGGGTGGCAGCGCAGAGGCTGGACTGGGGCGTGGGTGCATCCTGCGTGGGTTTGGGGAGGGGCGTGGCGTTTCCCCCGGTGGGCGAGTGGGGTCCGGGGTCTCTTCCTCCTCTCTCTACACTCCTGGAACCCAGGCCGGTCTAGGTGGAGAGGGCCGGGCAGGGCAGGGCAAGGCAAGCCCCAGTGTGAGGAACCCACCCACCGGAGCACCGGGGGCTGCCCCCTCACCCGCAGCTGGTGGCCCCAAGACCCTGCGGGATGGGGGTGCGGGCGGGCTGGGAGCCTCCTGTCCCTCATCTGCCAAGGGGGAGATGACCGGGGCAGAGGTGCCCGGCAGGGGCTGGAGCCAGCGGTCACCCAGGCCACACGCGGACCTCGGCCAGATTCCGGGATGCCCAGGTCAGGCCGCAGCCTCACGGCAGCTTGGGCACTCAGGAGCGGGGGTCGTGGGCCCAGGCTGGCTCCCATGGGGGCCTGGGTGGGCTGAAGACCCGGCGCTGCTGCCTGGGCCACAGTGCCAGGGTCCCGGGGGCCATCCCAGCCCCCTACCCCCAGTGCCGGTTAGCCAAGGAGGACACGGCGGCTGCGCCAGTCCTGCTCAGACCCCCTGCTGCCTGCAAACACAGCAGGGAATTTGGGGGTGTCAGTGCCCCTCCCCCGGCCTCAGTTCGTCTTGGCTGGACTGAGGTGGGGGCTGCTTTCAACCCCGGGACCCCTCTCAGGCGGCAGGGCACTGGGAAGCCTCCCCAGGGTCCTGGTTACCATGAGGGCTGTGACTCGGCGGCCCAGCCCTCGGGGTTTCTCCCAAGTGCCCAGGAGCGGCAGGTGCACCAAGGCCTTCGTGGCCGCAGGTGTTAGCGTTCGGCGCCCAGGTGTTTGGTGCCCAAAGGGGAGGGACCCTGGCGTTAGAGCCCCTTCTGGGCTCTGGCCCTGCGCGTGCTGCACCTTGTAGGGTGATCCATGGCTCTGCCCTGCGCCTGCAGGTGTCGCCTGGTCTCGAAGTTCAGGCTGGGGTCTCCTGTCTGTGCTCCGGGTGGGCTGCTGCTGTCAGCTCCCCCACCCAAAAATAACGCCCTCCAGCCCATGGCTGATCCTCCCTCACCGCCTTCGAGGCTCCCAGCCTCCATGGAGACCCCCGCGGCGTTCTGAAAGGAGAGCGTTGGTAAAGCGAGGGGCTCTCCGAGGCACCGTGTGGCTGCGTGCCCAGCGCCGGGCAGTGGGCGAGCTGGGAGGGCCGCGGCCGGCCACCTGCGGGGATGCGTGTGGGTGTGAGCGTGCAGGCGCACGCCGGCTCTGAGCATGGCTGTGGGCAGGCTGGTGCCACAGGAGGGTGTGGGGCGGCGGGCGGGGTGGGGGCTCTGCCTGCAGCCTCCCTCCCTGCCCCTGGGTCCCGGAGAGGCTGGAGCTGCTCTGGGGGGAAGAGGGACCTCGGAGCCTTGGTCAGGAGCCCCTGCAGGGCGCCTCCCGGCCTGGGCGGAGCTGACGCGGCTTCTCTTCTCTGCAGGTTTTCCGCCGCGCGGACAAAAATGGTGAGTTGCCTTTCTGGGCTGCCGGGGGTGGGAGACTCGGGCACCCTAGAACCTAGAGGTCAAGAGCACAGGACGCTGAAGTCGGGAGTCCTGATCCTGGCAGTGCTGTGTGCCTTGGTTTGTCTGTCTGCAAAATGGGAGTCCTGGCCCCCTTATGCACTGGCAGGGGCTGTCCTAACTGCTGCTTCCTAGCTGCATTTGCATGCCCCCAGCACAGCGCCCCACAGAGGCCTCGCCTGCCCCTCCACCTCCTCCTCCTCCTCTTGGGTGGAGGTGGGGCAGGGTGGGCGTTGTCCCCAGGGTTGATGTGGCTGGGAGGTGACAATGAGGGAGAGCTTTTTCTGCTCAGGGCCTGTGGGGGGCACCCTGGGCCCCTCCTCTCGGTGCACGGAGCCTGGCTCAGCCGCTCACAGCTGCGAGACCACAGGCAGGCCCTGGGGGCTCGGAGGAGGGCGGTAGCTGGGCAGCAGCAGGTGTGAGGCCTGGCGCTGTTGGGGGGGGGGCACTCAGGGAGTCCCCCCCTCCCAGCTGTGCCAGGTGCTTACCAGGCGGGAGGACTTGAGCAGGTTCTCCGCGGATGTCTCCCCCCACCCCCACTTCCTGACGGCAGAGGGGAGGCTTTGGGGGGGGGGTCTGATCCAGCAGCTGGAGCTCAACACTGGTGTGGGAGTGGGAGCAGCTGTGCATGCGGGGGCGGAGGCCAGAGCGGGGCAGGCACAGGGCAGGGGGAGGGCCAGGCTCCTACGGGTCCCAGGGCTGCTGGACACAGGCCAGGGACCGTGGGAGGTTCTTTGAATTTTTTTTTATGATTTATTTATTAGAGGGAGATGGAGGGAGAGATCTCCCATCAGCTGGTTCAGTCTCCAGACTGAGCCCGGCCAAAGCCAGGAGCTTCCTCGGGGTCTCCCCGTGGGTGCAGGGGCCCCAGCACTTGGGCCGTCCTCTGCTGCTTTCCCAGGCGCATTAGCAGGGAGCGGGATCGGAAGTAGAGCAGCCAGGACTCGAACCAGTGCCTGTCTGGGATGCCGGCGGCGTCGCAAGCGGTGCCCCAGTGCCACAGCGCCGGCCTCTGCAGGGGGTCTGATGCGATGCCGCAGGGGAGCGGGGGTGGGGCATGGTCGAGTTGGAGGGGAGCAGGGGCTGGGGGCTGGCCTGGCATGAGGGCTCTTGTGACACGGCCTTGGCTGGCCGAGGTGGACGCCAGTCCCCAGGGAAGGCCCAGGGGCCAACCCAGAAGGGCGGCTGAGCGGCAGGCGGCAGCTCCCCTGAGCCTAACAGGCTGTGGGCGTGGCGGCTGGGCTCGCGCTCATTAGCAGGGACATCTGAGAGAGGCCTGCTCGGGTCTCTGCTGACGCCAGGTGCTGGCTGCTTGTCTTGTCTAATTGGACGGAGCCCTGGGCAGGTGGTGGTTTTTGCTTCATTAGCTGATGGGGCTTCGCGTTCCCGGTAAATGTCACTCACGTGACCTGGCAGCGTGGGGGCAGGGGCCCAGAGGAGCTAGGGCAGGCAGGAGGTGGAGGCAGCCTGGGGCTGGCTGGGACTCCTGCTGTGCGGGGCGGGTGGCGGCCCCACCCCAAAAGCCTGCTCCTGGGTGGGGTCGCGAGGTTAGATGCCCGAGCCAGACGGCCTGGGCTCAGGCTGCTGCCGTGGGACCGGAGCGAGCCCCCGGCCCCTCTGTGAAATGGGGTGGTAACACCACCTGCGTCCTGGCACTGGGGAGACCGAGGAGTGAGCCCTCGGGGAGGCCTGTTCGCACCATGCTGGGCCGAGGTGGGGGTGGGGCAGGCAGTATCGCGTTCTGTGCAGTGCACGGAGCCCCCTCTGGAGGTCACAGGTCGCACGGCTGGTGTTGGACTTCCCACGGTGGTTTTGAGGACTTTTGTACATGGGATTATTTTGGTTTCTTTTTTAAAAAAGATTTATTTATTTGAAAGTCAGAGTTACACAGAGGAGAGGCAGAGAGAGAGAGAGAGAGAGGTCTTGCATCTGCTGGTTCACTCTCCAAATGGCTGCAACACCAGAGCTGTGCTGATCCGAAGCCAGGAGCTTCTTCCGGGTCTCCCACGTGGGTGCAGGGGCCCAAGGACCTGGGCCATCTTCTACTGCCTTCCCAGGCCATAGCAGAGAGCTGGGTCGAAAGTGGAGCAGCCGGGACTCGAACCCGCGCCCATATGGGATGCCGGCACTGCAGGCGGCAGCTTTACCTGCTACGCCACAGTGTTGGCCCCGATTTTGATTCTTGGTCTTGTTTTTGGAAGGTATAAGTCCTGTGTCCTCCCGTGACCCTGAAACTTGAGCCGGGCTGTGGGGGCCCAGGCGCACCCGTGCCCAGCCTCCCTTCCCGCCCATGTGTGTCCTGTCTCACAGCGCTGGGGAAAACAGGTGTGGCGAAGGCGGGTCGGGTCTGCGCTCCCTCCCTCTCCTCCTCGGGCAGGGGCAGCCGCACTGGCAAGTCTGAGAGTGACTTCCCCTCTGGCCGCATGGGTCAGCCATGTGTGGGTGCTCAGGCAATGGCACGGCCCCCTGAGCTCCGCTGTCCCTCACACACAGGGCTGTCCCCAGGGAGGCGTCCTTAGCGCCTTCAGGGGAGGGCATTGGCTGTGGGGAACTGGGGGAGGCCCCACCTGCCTGAGCTGGACCTGCTGGGACCAGCAGTCAGACCAGCCCGGAGCACCAGCAAGTGGCAGGACAGGAGGAGGGGACACAAGGAGAGGGGACAGGGACAGGAGGCAGGCCCTGTCCCCTCTGCCTCCCCTGCCCCATTCCCAGGACCGCAGCCTCCAGCCGGGGTTGATGGACAGGCAGGACGAGCATCTCGGCACGCGGCCGTGTGGGGCGAGGGGCTTCATCGGACCCCCGGTCGGACCCCCCTGCTGTGGCGCCGTGACCTTGGGCTGGGTCAAGCAGCTTGTGCTTGGGGGTGAACTGAGTGACGGCTGAGCGCCGGGTAGGGCCGACACCGGGACAGGGTCCATGAGCCGGCGATGCTGCCCTGTGTCGGCCTTCGTGGGGGTCGGCACTGCTGGATGAGTGGGAGACACCGTGTGAACTGGGGTTTACCGTTAATTGCTGGCGGGGTGGGGGACGGCAGGGGCCCGCCTGCTAGCTGGGCCTGGGGTCCCGGGGTCCCGGGGTCCCGGGGACCGCCCCCGCTGCCCCTCACGGCCGCGCCCGCTCCCTGCAGATGACGGGAAGCTGTCCCTGGAGGAGTTCCAGCTCTTCTTTGCCGACGGCGTGCTGGACGAGCGGGAGCTGGAGTCGCTGTTTCACACCATCGACTCCGACAGCACCAAGTGAGCGAGGCCGGGGCCCCAGGTGGATCAGCACCGCGCACACCTGTGTGGCTGTGGCTGCGCGGCTAGCGCCCCTGCAGACCCCCGCCACCACTGCCTGCGACACGGAGCCTCCCTAACGCTGCCCCCGTTTTAAACCAAGCTCCGCTTAGGACTTGCTCAGCCCGCCCCACAGCGCCCACACCTGTGCCTCATTAGCCTCTCCCAGCCCATCTCGCCCTGACCTGCATCTCCACACCCACCACGGGCCCCAGCCTGGCTCAAGTTCAAGTGCATCCCCACCCCCGACAGCCTATGCCCCCTCCACCCCACTCTGTGGAGGGGCAGAGTCCTTGCCTGGTCCCCCTCCTCAGGCCCGCTCGGATGGTGGGCACCAGAGTTCCTGGGGGCTGCCTGGGGCAGGTCTGATCATCTGGGGTCCCTTGCTAGACAGGAGGGAACGAGCAGCCGCCACCAAGCCACGTGCAAGGGGCCGAAGGCAGTGCTGGCCTGGGCCGGACTGGGAAGGGGCAGGTGGAGTGGGATCCTCGCCTATGGATGGACACTAAAGAAGAGGCTCTGAGGGTCCCTGTGGCTGTGTGGGGGCTGGCAGGTGCAGGCGCTGCCCCCTGATGGGTTCCTCCTCACTTGCTGGCTTTTATGGGGGGCAGCGGGAGGTGCTGCCTGCAACGGCGAGCCTGGCCAGGGCCACAGCTGGCCTCACCGCACACAAGGGCCAGGCCAAGACCTTGGCGTTGTTGGCTCTGGCGTCCGGCCAAGTGTGAGCCGAGGACATCAGCTGCCTGGGGTGCTGAACTGCGCGGCCGCCTCCTGCAGAACTCGGAGCTCCCAGTCTGCGGCCCGCACAGCCCCGCGTCCAGCCCCGCGCCCTGGCCCCGGGGTTCTGCTTAGCACACTCGGGTGGGCCGGCCCCTGCGCTCTCGGGCACATGGTGGGGAGGTTGCCGGAGCCTGTACCACCACTCTGTCCCCAGTTCCTGGCCCGGTGCACCTCTGATGCCGCTGTGTGCACCTGTGCCGCCAGCCTCCTCTACGCTGTCGGGAGGGGGGCCCAGGGGCTAGGGGTGAGGAGCAGGGCTGAGCTGGGTTCTCCAGGAGCTGTGTGGACGGCCTGGACAGCCAGGGCCCGCCCTAGCCCTGCCTTTGGAGCCCACTGTTCCCCAGGAGGTCGGAAGCCTTTGGAAGGGAAATTGGGGCAGTGGGTACTGGCCACGCCTACTTGGACAGAGCCACCTCGGGGTGCGGGCACTGGGGGTGCACGGGAAGACAAAGGGCGGCAGGAAGCCTTTAGCAAGCTGCACAGGGTCCCCCCCCCCACCAGCTGTGGAGGGGTGGGGCCACCACACTCACACCCCTCTCCTCTCTCTGCAGCCACGTGGACACCAAGGAGCTGTGTGGTAGGTGCCTGGCTCTGTGCCTACAGGGGTGGGACGGGGTGCAGGCAGTGAGGGGCAGAGGCGGGACTGGGGGGCCGCGGGCGAGGGGCAGAACCCCCCCCATGACCCCCGACCTCGGCTTCCCGCCCCCAGATTACTTCGTGGAGCACATGGGGGACTACGAGGACGTCCTGGCCTCGCTGGAGACCTTGAACCACTCGGTGCTGAAGGCCATGGGCTACACCAAGAAGGTCAGCGGGGTCCGAGGCCCGGGGCTGGGATGAGCCGACGGAGCCCAGCAGCCCGGGCGTGGTCCTGCCTGTGAGGGTCCGGTTGGAAGCGCAAGGTTCCCGCCCAGGTGCAGCCTGGCCTGGAGGGCGAGGGGGTCCCCCGACAGGTGCTAGCCCCAACCGCCCGTGGTGACCCCGTGACCTGTGGGCCCACATCTGCTGGGGCAGGAAGGCACGGCAGGCCCTGGAGGCGGCCCCGGGCAGGCGGCAGGCGGCAGGCAGGAGGGCCTGGGCAGCAGGGACCTGTGTCCTGCAGCCCCTGTGGAGGCGCAGGCACGGCTGCCCCCCGCCCAGCACCTCCCGGGGAGCAGAGTGGCAGTCCTGCAGGGAGCTCCTCACCGGCCCTCCGTGCGCTGCAGCCCGAGCCGCTGGCTGGGGACAGAGGAGAAACTGAGGCAGGGCCCACGGGTGCAGCCCCCGGGCAGCGCGGGCCCCTCCGGAAGGGCCAGCCCCTGCTGTGGAGGCCACGGGGCCGCAGTGGAGGAGTCGGCCGCCTCTGGCCCACGCACACCCCGGGCTGTGGGACAGGGGCACAGACCCGAGCTCTGCTGAGCGCGGCGTGGCCTCCCCCGCGTGCGGGATCCACGCTCACAGGCCTCAGCGCGCACGTAAAACCCACTCCAGAAAGGTCCGCGGCGCAGCGCTAGAACGTGGCGTGCGCCCGTGGCTAGGCACCATCCGTGTGCGTCAGGTGAGGGTGTCACGTGAGGCTACATGGCTGGGCGTGGCCTGGAGCGCTGTGCGCGAGGCTGCGCCGTGGGCTCCGGGGCTGCCGTTGCCGGCCGCCCACTGTCGGCGGGCACGTGAGGTCCGGCGGCTGCTGCCCAGCTGCAGCGCGAGGGCCGCGGGTCCCCGTCTCGGCCTCCCCGCACCGTGGTGGGGCCGCGGTTCTGCCTCCGGCCCAGCGTGCCGCTGCTCGGGCCTGGCCCGCGCTCCGGGCCTCGGTAGAGGGTGGGCTCCCAGCCCCATCTGCGTCCCCCGACGTGGGTGCAGGGGCCGGGCCCTTGCCGTCCTCCGCTGCTCTCCCAGGGGCCTTAGCAGGGAGCGGATGGGAAGTGGGGCAGCCGGGACTTCAGAGCGTCGGTACAGACGGTGGGGCTGTAGTGGGGGTGAGGGCGTGGGTGTAGGCAGGGTGCTATAGTGGAGGTGAGGGTGGGTGTAGGCAGGAAGATGTAGTGAGGACGTGGGTGTGCAGTGGGGCTGTAGTGGAGGTGAGGGCGTGGGTGTAGGCAGGGGGCTGTAGTGGAGGTGAGGGTGGGTGGGTAGTGGGGCTGTAGTGGGGGTGAGGGTGGGTGGGCAGTGGGGCTGTAGTGGAGGTGAAGGTGGGTGGGCAGTGGGGCTGTAGTGGAGGTGAGGGTGGGTGTAGGCAGGGGCTGTAGTGAGGACGTGGGTGGGCAGTGGGGCTGTAGTGGGGGTGAGGGTGTGGGTGTAGGCAGGGGCTGTAGTGGAGGCGGGTGTACACACAGCCGCCCTCCACGTGGCCGTGCACGGGTGTTCTGCCCGAGAAGTGCGAAGCCTGCCGTGGCGTGAGGATGAGTTTGTCGTCCGCGTTGCCCGTGCCGTGGTCGTCCTCGGAGCCACGCGCCGTGGAAACCCGGCCATCTCTGCCTGTTTCTCGCGTGAACCCTGCCTACAAGCGCCCTTTGCCCATGCCTGTTCCCCGCTGTCACTTGGCGTCTGCGTGTCTGTTCGTGGAAAGCGGCCGCCCTGCTTACCCCACGGCGTCGTGTTCTGTCGCTGACCTTGGTCTGCCTTGAACTTCTCCCCTCTCTGAGCTGCGTTGCAGCCAGGAGCACAATGCGTCGTGGCAGGGACCCCCCCCTCCGTCCCCCATAATGCCCCACTGCCTCCCGGGTGCACATTAGCAGGAGGCTGGAACCTGGGGGCCAGCTAGCCTAGAACCCAGGCCTGCAGCACGGGGTGCCGCTGTTCCTAGTGGTGCCCTCCGCACGCTGGTTCTTGGGGTTGCACACAGGTTTGGGGCATTAGAAGGCTGAAGGGGGGAATGGTTAAGCAGCACTTTGTTGTGAAGGTTACAGGGGGTGGGGGGAGACAGAGAGCGGTCTTCCATCTGCAGGTTCACCCCAGGTGGCCACACGGCCGGCGCTGGGCTGGGCTGGGCTGGGCTGGGCTGGGCTGAAACCGGGAGCTGGTACTCCATCCGGGTCTCACTCGTGGGTACCACAGACCCAGGCCTGGGGCCGTCACGTGCTGTCCGCTAGGCTGCATCATAGGACACTGGACGGACAGCGGGCATTCACACGGGATGTGGGGGGCGCAGGGCACGGCCAATGCACAGCGGTGCGCTCGCGGGTGTTACTGGGTAACTCCTGCCCCGCAGCCCCCGTGCCTGGTGCTGTCACCGCTGCTCCCTGCCCGCACCTGCCGATTCAGGAGCGTTTCTGCCGTTCAGGCCTGGAGCGCCTAGGAGCAGTCCCGTGCCTCCGGGGCCTCGATCGCCGTGTCCCCTGTGGCCTGCGCGGCCGGGACTTGTCCCGTGGATGCCCAGGTGTTTGTTAAAACATTCACAAGCGAAGTGACAGACGGGGAGTCAGCGCTCCTGCAGGCAGTGGCTCACTGCCCAGTGGCTGCAGCTGGGGCTGCACGAGGCGGGAGCCGGGAGCTCTGCACTCGGAGCGTCTCCTGCTGTGCCAGGCGTGTCGGCAGGGAGCGGAACCGGAAGCGGCGTGGCTGGGACTGGAACCCGTGCGCTTAGGGGATCCGGTGTGCACCGGGCCCAGGACACGGTTCCTGGCGCTGTCCCTTGCTGGGGCCTGCAGCGCTGGCCTCGTGGCCGAGGCACCGACCGGACAGAGGAGGAATCCATCCAGGGTTCACTTGGCTGCCCTGGCCACGCCCGCACCTGAGCACCACTCTGCTGGGAGGTTTCTGGAAGGCTCTCCTCGGTGTGTGGGTTGACCCTCCCCCTTATTTCTTTCCTGAAGCTGTGCTGATCAAGCTGCACTGAGGGCTTCGAAAGGCGGAGGCAGGGAGCGGACAGGGCGCTCCGTCTGCTGGGTCCCTTCCCAGATGGCGCAGTGACCAGGGCCGCGCCAGGCTGAAGCCAGCAGCTGCCTCCAGGTCTCCCACACGGGTGCAGGCGCCCACACACGTGGGTCTGGCGCTGCTTTCCCAGGCCGTAGCAAGGAGCTGCGCTGGGAGTGGAGCAGCTGGGTGCGGCTTTACCTCTGCGCCACAGCGCCGGCCCCACGTAGGGCTTTGTTTCGGGGTGACAGCAACTCGTCTGGTCGTGGCTGGAACCATGTATGAGAAGGGCCTGGGGCCCAGCACGGAGCACCCGGCCACCAGGACTCATGGCTTCTGGCCCCAGCCTTGTTCTGCCAGGAGGGTCTGCGTCCACCAGCCCCGGTCAGGCTCAAGCCGGCGCCTGCCCCTCCCCCACCTCTGCCGTCCTCCGTGGTGCGGCTGCTGCTGGTTAACCCCCAGTCTCGGCGATGGTTGCTTGAATGTGCTTTCCCCAAGCTCTGTTCTCCCGGCTCTGTGGGGACCAGGCGGCATCCAAGGTGTGGGGACCAGTTCCTGGGAAGCTGGGGATGGCGGCACAGGCGCCGAGGCACTGGGGAACTGGGCCTTGTGGTTGTCGCCTGTGCCGCCTCTTTGGAGGAGGAAGGAGAACCGGGGCCGTGAGTTCTGGCCCATCACGGTGCCCACAGGCAGCGGTGTGGTCGCCACCGCCGTCACCATGGTCGTCTGTCGGGGCAGCTGCTGCTGGTGGGGACCTGCTTATAGGGGGCCGGCGCCTTACTCACTGTCCCGTGCACACTTGGTCACTTAGTCCTGGCCATGCGCCCGGGGCCTCCTGTGCTCTCCGAGGCCCCGGCTCCCACCTCGCTCTCCGATGCAGGAGGCGGTGGGGTCCCCACCGCTGCCCAGCCCGGTGCCCCGGCTCCTGGGCCGGAACCTGCGTCCCCGCTCCCCTGCCCAGTGCGCCTCTCCTGCCTCCACAGGTGTACGAGGGCGGGAGCAGCGTGGACCAGTTCGTGACCCGCTTCCTGCTGAAGGAGACGGCCAGCCAGATCCAGTCGCTGCTGAGCTCGGTGGAGAGCGCCGTGGACGCCATCGAGGAGCAGACCAGCCGGATCCGGTGCGGGGCGGGCGGGTGCGGCTGGGGTGCTGGCGCCACCCCTGGGCCCTCAGGCACCGTGGGGACCGGCTGGGAGAGGCTGCTTCTCTGAGCTGGCGGGCCACGTTCGCTCGTGGCTAACGAGTCCCGAGATGGCGCGTGGCCCGGTGTTTACCCCTGGCGTGGGTGTAGGAAGTGCTGTGTGGGTGGTGCGGCTGGACGCGGGCACTGCGTAGCCCCCAGGGGCCGAGCCTGACCCCGCCTTGCTGGGAAGGGCGGCCGGGAGTCGCGGAGGCAGTGGGAGCCGACGGAGCGTTTCTCAGGAGGTGGAGAGCGGGTGGAGGGCGGTTCTCACTGCGCCACCTAAAACCTGGGACCCACGGGCAGGATCGGGCGTCCCCGGGGAGCCTGGTGTCAGGGAGCCATGCTTGCCCCCTGCCCGCTAGGCAGGGTCAGCCCCCTGGCGGTCGTGAACCCTGGCTTGTGCCGGTCCGGGTTCAGACCAGCTCCTCTGCCCGTTCTCCCAGAGCAGCTGCTGGGCTTGGCTCTAGGGGGACCAGAGGAAGCCCCGGGTGTGCGCCCAGATGTGGTGGGGTCCGGGGCCTCCGGGCGGAGCGGCCGGCACGGCCCGGCCTGGGTGTGGGGCGTGAGCCACTTCTCCATCGTGAGGAGCAGAGGCCCCAGGTGTTTGCTCTGAGCAGCTGTGGCCAAGGTGCCGGGGCTGCCCTCGGGGGCCACGTCCCCTGGTGGCATCCGGGGAGCAGAGCCCAGAGGTCCTTGGCTTTTGCCTCTGTCCTGCCCTGACGGGCAGCGGCACCGCATGGCTGTCACCCCGGCCCGGGCAGTCATGTGGGGGTGGGGGTGGCGTGTCCCAGGGAGAGGAGCATGTGCCCCCCACCCAGCTGACAGTGGTTTTCCCCGCAGGCTGGGGGTCCAGAGGTCCTGCACCCCACAGCCTCCCGCTCCGCCCTCCGTGGGCTGAGGGACACCTCTCATTTGCCCCCGTTGATGGAGACCCCGGGATTAACACTGGGAACACTCGGCCAGCCTCTCCCGTACGGCAGGGGAGATCCTGCTGAGCCCTCACATTCTGGAATGTACTGGAGCAGCGGGGGGGGGAGGGGGTGTCCTGGTGAGCAGACGCTGGTGCGGAGTGGGGGTGCAGGCACACGAGCTGCGGCCCCGCCCCTCTGTAGGGCTGAGGGCTCGGTGACAGCTGTTCCGTCACGTTCCTCGGAGTCTCACAGGGCTGCCTGTTTGGGGGTGCACATTCTGGGGCGCGAGGCCAGGTGTGCAGGCTGCTTCCACCAGCAGTGATGCGCCTGTGGGGGGGGGGCACTGTGGCCCGGGGAGGGATGGAGACCCCCGGGGCAGGGCACTTGGCCAAGGCCGCGCAGCCAGCTGGGGCAGAGCGGGGGGTTCTCACTGGGCTGCAGGCTGCACTCCAAGGCCCTGCAGCTGCCGTCATGGTCCCTCTCCCCCTTGCACCCGCAGCGAGAACCACGGCAGGCCCAGCCCCGGCGTGGGGGAGACCTGGCACCGCTCCTCTCCACCCTGTGCCCCCACCCACAAGCTCATGGCCCCAGAACAAGGGCCCAGCCTGCCGCCTGGTGAGAGCGCAGTGGTGGGGTGGGGGCTGGCCGGGGCTCCTGCCGAGTGGGGTGCGTGCTCCCATGGGGCCTGCCGGCGGTCACTCTGTGTTTCTCTTTCCTAGCCCCTGGGGACCTGAGGGAGGAGGGCCTGGGGGCCCAGGTGAGCCGGCTGGCAGAGCTGATAGGGAGGCTGGAGAACAAGGTGAGGCCGGGCCGCGCACCCTGCAGCCCCGGCATGGGGTGGGGTGGGTCTGGGGTCAAGGTCAGGGCTGTGGCCAAGACCTGTCAGGTGGGGCGGGGCACAGGAGCCCGGGCTTGAGGCTTCAGCCCTGGGGAGGGGACCACGGGGCAGAGCAGAGCCGGCAGCCTGAGGGGCGTGTGCAGGAGCGGGGAGCTGCAAGGGGAGGTGGCTTCCCCTGGACCTGTGGGAGCAAGTGAGGGACGGAGGTGACCAGGGAACAGCTAGCAGCGGCCACGTACGCAGGGCCGGGCCCAGGGGTCGGTCCTCAGCTAACGGGGAGCAGAGCGCCCCTCCGGGTGAGGGAGGACCTCGCCTTCACCCTGCAGGTATCATTTTAGGGAGCCGGGTGCCTGATGCAAACCTGCTCCTGCACACACGCCCCACCCTGCGCCACCAGAAACCGAGACCATGGGCATCGGCACCCTGGGATGGGAGATGGTCCGAGGTTTCTTAGATCTCCCTGGGTTCAGCAGTTAGCAGGCCAGGAGTCCTGCGGGCCCGCCCCCACCCCCTGAAGCCATCTCCACGGGTGGGAGCTGCTCCACTGGACCTGGGGCCCGGTTGTCATAGCAACACGGCAGGAGCCTCCAGAGGGAGGTTCTTTGAAGCTTATTTTTAGCACCCGGGTCGCCCTAACAACCAGGCTCGCTGGTAACCAGGGAGCACCTGGGTGTCCTGGAGACGGAGCGGGCCTTTCTCCTGGTCTGATTGGCCCAGGAGGCAAGCGGGGGCCAATCTGTGCCCTGGCTGCAAACCCCACCCTCCCCAGGCCCCCTCTGCTGTGGGCTGGTGCTGCCTGGGCTGGGAGGCTGGTGACCTGGGGGCCTCCCCGCGGGCGGTAAACCACAGGGAACCCTGGTACCGGCAGTGACAGGATGGGGCGGATGGTCCGTGTGGGCTTCAGAGCGTTGTGGCGTGTACCACGAGCTGGCCTGGCCAGGCCCGGTGCTGACGACGGCTCGGGGGTATTTACCAGGTGTGGCACAGACAGCACAACCCCCGGGACTGGGGACTGAGGGCCCAAGTGACCGTGCCTCTCTGCCCCAGAGTCCAGGGCCAGCAGGGACAAGCTGTCCCGTCCCAGGCTCTGAGCGAGCCGTGTGCATGGAAGTCGGATTGTCCGGAGCAGCTGCCGCAGCCCCTGCAACCTGCGAGGGGACAGAGGCCTGTCCCCCCAGCCCCTGGCGCCAAGGGCTGCCCCCACGTGATCCAGGGCCATCACGGCCCAAAGCGTTTCCTGGAGGTCTCTCTGGTGGAAGCGGCCTCCTGCTCTCGCGTCATGCCGTGCTTTGTTTCAGACGCTGTGGTTTGACCTGCACCAGCGCCTCTGGGATGAGGAAGGCACCCCCATGGTGAGCGCGGCCCCCTCGCAGCAGGGTGCTGCTCCAGCGCTTGGTTCCCCCCCTCCCGTCATGAGGCTGGCAGGGCAGGAGGAGACCCTGGGCTGGGGGCAGCCAGGCGGGGGGGTGAGCAGTGCACTCGGGCCGCTTGGCTGGAGGCCCCGTCCCCACTAGCGTCTGTCTGTGCCTGGGTGGGAGCCTCTCTCCCCATTTCCTGGGGTGGGGGGGTTCAGTTTGGACCCCATTGCCCTGGCTCCTCTGAGGGTGGTAGCGGGGGCAGGGCTGTGTCCTGGGCGGGGCGGGACCCAGCAGGCAACCTGGGCCTGGCTCACTCTGTCTCCGGCCGGCAGCACCTGCAGCTGATCCGGCAGGAGCTGGCCGTGTGCCCCTCACAGCTGAGTGCCTTCCTGGACGCCCTGCGCCCGTACCTGCGGGGCACTGCTGCGGTGAGGAGCTGCTTCCAGTGAGTAGGCCCGCCGACGCCCGGGCAGGGGCTCGGTGCTGGCTGCCCCGCCCGGGCAGGGGTGGGGAATGGCTCCAGCGCCCCGCCCTCAGCTTACTCCTCTGTGATGTGGGGGCCCCCGGCAGGCGCGCCCCACTCGCTGGAGCAGCAAGCGTGCAGGGCCCTGGGAGCTGGGGCCCGGGGGCTCCTTCCTTGAGCCCTGGCCTGGTCCGCAGTGCGAGCTTAGTCAATGTGGAAGGAACAGGGGAGGCGTAGGGGTGAGGCCCAGGCCCTGCTCTCTTTCCTCCTCATCCCTGCGCCAAACTTGGCTGCCTGCCCTGTCCAGCCCCTGAGGCCCACGTTGCTCCTGGGCAGGGTGGAGCCCAGGGGCTGTGGGCTGTCCCTATGCAGCGAGTGGTGCCTCGCCCCTGCACCTGCTCGATGTCTTGCCTGGCTGCAGCCCTGCCCAGTTTCTCCCTGGGTACAGGGCTGTGACCCAGGCCCGTGCAGTGGCCGTGCCAGGGTGGGGGGAGGCAAAGCAGGTGGCTGCCCGAGGGAGTCAGGGTTCAGCCGGCGGAGGTGTACAGCAGAGGTGGCCTCCAGGCCTCCGGACCTGCAGGCCCAGGGAAGGGGAGCTGGTCCGGCCCTGCTCTGTGGGGGACGCTGGAGCCCCCACGCAGGAGTGGGACTCAGTGCGGCTGTAGTGTCCACAGCTGGAGGAGCGGAGGTGGAAGCACCCCCTGCACGTGGTGATCATGCCCCCAGCACCGCCCTGCACAAAGCTGGAACCACGGCTCCCTCTGCCCAGGGCCGGCAGGACCAGGCTGCTCCCCCTGGGGGCAGGGGGTGTCCACACTGCCCCCAGCCCTGCCTGCCCTGGTCTGTCCCCATGTGGGGGTGGCCCCAGGCAGACCGGCCCTGAGCGACACCAGGTGGGCCTGTCAGGCAGGGGGCCATGGTCAGAGGTGCCAGCTCAGTGCCGTTTCGGGACAGAGCCAGGTCAGGACAGGAATGGCCTGACCAGGGCCTCACGTGCGGTGCGGTCAAGTAGTGCCCTGAGCATCCGTCCTCTCGAGCGCCAGGGCTACCCTGCGAGGCCGGTCCTGCTCTAGGTGGGGGGGGTGTATGGTTATGGGGGATCCAGCGCCTGGGCGTGGCCCCTCCGTGTTGCTCCAGGCCCGTCCCTGCCTTGCTGCCCCCGGAGCAGGTGCCGGCGCGGGAGGGAGGCCCCTGGGTGTGCGTCGGCCCCGGCGTGCCTGCGGCCCCGCTGTGCCTCACCCTGCTGCCCTCCCCCCGCCCCCCGCAGCATCGCCGCCGTGAGGCTGTCAGACGGCGCCACCTTCGTCATCTACGAGTTCTGGGAGACGGAGGAGGAGTGGAAGAGGTGGGCGCTGGGGGCCCCGGGCGGCCCTTACTGCAGACTGGGCCCAGCTCTGGTTCTAGGACTTGCTGGAACCAGGACAGCCCAGCCCCGCACAACATCTGCTGGACCCCTCCATCTTTCCTGCCCTGAGAGCCGCCAGGACGGTCAGGCTTGGCAAGGGGGAGGCAGGGGAAGTGGCCCAGCGGAGGGCTCAGGGTACCCCAGACACCTGTTCCTTACTCCTGGGGCCTTGGGGTAAACCCCTTGGTGCCAGCTGCAGGAGGCAGGTGATAACCCCACCTCCGGAGAGGTGGAATCGTGGACGAGTGCCCATGGGGCCCTGGAACCGTCTCAGGGTGTGGAGGCTGGTTCTGTGCCCAGGGACCTGCTGGGCCCTGGCAAGAAGCGGGCAGTGCACCCCATGCGCTGCCACTCAGGCCTGAGCCCCTGGGCCTCAGGCTCCAGCCAGGGATCAGAGACCAGAGACGGGTCTCAGGGTTAGGCCCCTGCGCCGGCAGCCTGGGGCCTCGACCTCACTCAGCCCGCCCCTGGCTTGCAGGCACCTGCAGAGTCCTGAGGGCAAGGCCTTCCGGCACGCCAAGGTGGACGCGCTGAGCCAGCCCGAGGCCCTCTCGCGGATCGCCGTGCCAGGTACGGGAGGGGAGGCCACCCCCCTGGGGGGGTCAGGGAGTATCCTTGTCCCCACACACGCTGCTGCCACTGCGGACAGCGGCCAGGGAAACAGCAGGAGTGGGCAAGAGCCTCAGCCTTGGCAAGGCCAGTACTCATGGGGGACACGAGGGTGCCCCCTGCCGCCTCCAAGGGCTCCCCCCCCCCCGCTGCCTCCCCCTGTGCAAGACCTTCAATCCTGCCTGGCTGCAGCAGGGCCCCACAGACGCTGGCCCCGGGTGGCCCCCTCAAACCCGGACAGTCGGTCCCACCCGTGCTGGATGACGCGTCTCTTCCCGCCCCTTCCAGCGGCCTGGTGCACCGTGGGCCGGGAATGACCCCTCGCCGTGGCCTGCAGCCAAGGAGCCGGTGGCCCTGCCCCGTTTCTAGAAACTGCTCTTGGCGCTCACTGCTGTGTTCTCGGCAAGAATGTCCTTCCGCTGCTCCGACTGGGCGGGGGGGGCACCTTCCCCCTCCCCACAAGGAACAGCCTCCAAGTGGGGCGCCCCGGCTCCCCCCTCCTCCAGCCAGCGAGGCGCAGCAGGACTCCCCCCGGGAGGGGCACCGCGGCCCCCCTTCCTCTTCCCGTAGGAGCCGTGACCCTGTAGTGCCTACCCTGGGCATGGGCTGAGCCCACGTAGCCTGCGCTGTGACGCCGACAGCGCACCCAGCACCCAATAAACGCTGCTCAGGAGTGGCCGCCCGCTGTCTGCCTCCGTTTTCCGGACACTGCAGGTGCAGGTGGGCTCCTGCGTGGGGGCAGTGTCTGCACGACCTGACTTGTACCAGTCAGGGAGGTCGGGGACCTCCCCATAGTGGGATGTGTGTCTGCCAGCCTGGCAGGTGCACAGGGTGGGGGGGCTCCCACCATGGCCCAGTGGGGGCGTCCCTGAGTCTGGGGGGCTCTGTCCCCCTGATGTTGCCATCAGCACCGACCCTCCTGCCGCCCAAGGCCCACGAAGTATCCACAGCGACACGGGCGATGCCGGACAGGCCCCAAGCGCAGGGTTTGTACCCCACGAGGACGGAGCCCAAGCCGGCAGCGGAGCCTGGGGGTAGGGAGGAAGAGAGCAGGGTCCACCCTGGCCTCTGCCCTGCACACAACAGGGCAGGTGGGGGGTGGCCCCGAGAGCTACCAAGCAAACCACGTGCTGAGGCCCAGAGAAGGGCACTGAGGCACGGCAGCATCGGGCGGGCCAGCCTGGGCACGCAGGCCACCTCCTGCCCCGCCCGACCCTCTGAGTGCTATCCCTCCCTAATCCCCCAGGCCTCTGCCTGCGGCGGCTCCCCCACCCCTGGTAGCGGTGGACGCCTGCCACGCACGCACATTCCACCGAACACAGGGTGGGGCCGGAGGAGGGAGCGGGGCCTCGGGTCTCTGTCCCCATCCCCACTCCTGCTGGCTGCGCCTGGAGGTTCTGTCTGCAGGGGGCTGAGGCTCTGTGGGGAGCGTGAGGAACCCCTTTAACTGGGCCTGCTGTGTCCCTTCCTCATGTCCTGCCCGCGAGCCCCCGAGTGGTCTCTGCTGGAATCGGGGTAGGGGGCTCTGAACAAACTCGGTGCCAGCCCCGGCAGCAGGAGCACCCCCCACTCCGGGCCAGGGGGTCCCACTCCGTGCTCGGCCTTGGGCGAGCGATGACGAGCAGGTGGCTCGGGTGAGACCCAAGTCCTGTCTGCAAAGCCGTGCCCTGGCGATGGGCGGGGTGGCGCCTGAGGAGCCCACTCCCCAAGTCAGTCCCCGACGGCAGCGGACGGGATTCTCACGTGGCCCCACGCGGGGTGCACCAGGCCCTCAGGAACCGGGAGCTGTGGCAGAGCTGGCGAACAGGCTCACCGCGGCCACACCCACTTCCACCGGACTCGGCGACTCCGCCCACCAGAAACTGGTCAGCCGCACTGACTCCGCCCCAGGAGACCCGCAGCCTCGGGAGGAGGGCAGAGGGGCAGGGTCGGCGGGGGAGCACAGCCGCGGAGATCCCCCACCCCGGACTGCACCGTCTGGTCTCTTACCTCCATCTTACACTCTGCCTGGCCCTGCTCGGAGCTCGGTGCCTGCGCTCGCCAGTGGCTCCAGGCTGGCACCACGCCGGGGGCAACGTGCGGATCTGGACCCAGCGTTTCCCCGAGGCACAGGGAGCCTGCAGCCCCCAGGGCACAGAGCAGGGGGCTAGGCAGGGGCTGGCCACGGGCAGCGCTGCGGCACCTGCGGGGGGCGCTGTGCTCGGCTCTCAGGCCCCTGCCTGAGCGGATGCGTGGCCTCAGCCCCCTGCGGAGGAGTGTGGAGAGAGGCCCACAGGAAGGGCGTTGGGAAGAGCACGGATGCAGGAGGAACCGAGCCTGGGAGCACACATGGGGAGCACGGCGGGGGGGGGGGGGGGACAGCAGCCGGAGCAGGAAGCGCCCAACACAGGCGCAGGGGCAGCAAGGCAGGCTGGGCCGGCCCACGCGGCTGGGAGGTGGGAGGCAGCAGGCAGCCCCCGCCGAGCCCTGCCTCAGGCCCCGAGTGCCTCCCCTTGCCCCGGGGGACACCAGGTCCGCCAGCCGAGCCGGGAGGGCCCTGGTGCCTGAGCAAGACCAGCCCTAGATGCTGTGAGCTGGGACGGGGGCGCCCCGCCCGCACCCCACTGCCGCAGCCCTGGCCTTGCCGCTCACGTCTTCACTGAGAGGGAAACTCGTCTCCCCGGGGCCACTGTCACCCCTTCAACGCCCGGCGCCGCTCCGCTTCCTCCCTGATTTTCGGGCGATCCGTTTACATCCTGTTTCCCCTTGGCTGCCAGGAAGCTCGGCGTTGCCTTGTGAAGCTCGAGCCACGGTTTCGGGGGTGCCCACTGTGTTGAGGCGCCCCGCCACCCCCCAGGACACGTCCTCACCTTGCCCCTCCCGGTAAGCCACTGGGCGCTCACTGAGCCCTCGCTGTGCTCGGAGAAAGCGGACGTTTAGCAAAGACTACGCCGCCCCCCGCTCAGACTGCAAAGGGCCAGAGTCCGCCCCCAAAGCGGGCCCCTGCCCTGCTCCTCGTGCGGCCTGACCCCCGCCCACCACACCCCGTTCCTCCACAACTCGGCTGAGGGGTTCGGCCCAGCCCTCGCCCTGCTGGCCGGCGTGGGGTGACCAAGCGACTACTCCCCAGACACAGGGTGTGGTCAGTGAGGACCACAGGAGCACCCCATGGCCCTGCTGCCCGGGGTCAGCGCGTGCCCCATGGTGAGGGCCCCCCACCTGGGGCTGGGCCTGAGGCTCGCTCGTGCCGTGCAATGCCAAGGAAACGCGTGACAGAACTGACCCCCGACTCGCTGCCGGTCCCAGCTCTGCACCTCGCAGGGCTCCGAGCCTCAGGGACCCCACATCGGGAACCACGCCACCACGGAAGCTCCAGGAGCCACACGGCCAGGGCCACAGCCTGCAGGAACCAGCGCAGGCCCAGTCCTGGCGGGCGACCATGTAAGTACGAGAGAGACAAACAGAGCGCAGGGCTCCTCTCTGTGGCGATGAAAACACCCCCAGACACCCCCGGTGCCGGCCACACAGCTCCATGTAGAGACACAAAGCCAAGTGCTATACCTTAGAGGGGTCAAAGTGCACGCGTGTGGACAGGCCAACTCGGCACTGTGGCCCAGTGTGTCAGCCCGCCTCCTGCTGGCCGAGGAGTCACCTGCAAGCCACGGGTCAGGAGCTCCGGTTCCTGGGGCACCAGGACGCTGTCCAGCCCCCGCAGGGTCAGCGCGGAGCGCAGGGCACAGCCCAGGAGCAGCCAGGCCCTCACTCGCCTCTCGTCTCCCTGCCCCCTTCCGTGCCTTCCGCAGGGCCCCAGGAGTGACTGTCTCGGCCCCACAGGGTCGGCGGCCCACGTGGCTCCCAGGCCCTATCAGGGGAGGCCACGGAGGCATTCCTCAGGGCCCCCCAGTCCCATGGGGCGTGGGCCCAGAGCCCGGCGAGGCTAGCTGGGGGCACGCCTCTCTCTAGACCGCTCCCGGTCACGGGCAGGGTTTGGGCACTGCCACCTCGGGGGATGCCACTTCTCACCTCAGGGACAAGCACCCCACATCTCAGATCTCGGCTGCGCAAAGTGGGCTTCCCCAGGCCTCAGCCCCAGCCCCACCGTGAGGGCCCCGTGTCCCCCAGTGGAGGAACCCCCGTCCCACGCCTGGGTCCTGTGACCGTGGCCTCAGGCGGCCAGGGGATTTTAGCACAGCCTAAGCAAGCAGCCAGGATCCTACTATGCGAGGCCAGGTCCTCGCTGAACGACCACTGGACCAAACACAGGGGCCGTGGTCACGCAAGGCCCAAAGCGGAGACTGCAGTGAGACATCTCCAACCAGGGTGCTGGGACACCGGCAGCCACCAGCAGCGGGCAGGGTGCGAGGGGGGCTCCTCCCCTGGAGCCTGGGGAGGGAGCGTGGCCCCACTGGCACCTTTGTCAGCACTCGTGGCCTGCAGAACCGTGGGCCACGACCCAGGTGGAGGTCACTGGTCACAGCGCACACAAGTACCTAACGCGTTCCCTCCAAGTCGGCCTAGAGGCTGGGTGAGCAGAGCAGAGAAGCGGGGGAGCGGAAGGCCTGCATCGCTCCAGCACCTTCATGGCAGATACAGAGCACACGGCGGTCACGGCCCCCGGCCTGGGGCGCGGCGGGGGCCCTCCCCACACTCAGGACAGCTCCCGAAGGCCTGCATCGCTCCAGTACCTTTATGGCGGACACAGAACACATGGCTGTCGCGGTCGGTCACGGTCACAGCCCCAGGCGAGGGTGGGGGAGTTGGGGTTGGGGGCGGGGGCCTCCCCACGCTCTCAGGACAGCTCCAGGATGGCAGCCAGCGTGCTCTGCCCGAAGATGAAGGTGCCAATCAGCACGGAGACCACGCCCCAGGCCTCCAGGCAGCACCTGTCAATCAGAGACCCCAGTGAGCTCACGCTGCCAGGGCGCGCGCCCCCACAAGACAAGCACATAAGGCAACACGTGGCAGGAGCCCAGGAGCGCCTCCCGGGGGACACGGGCCCGGCTCCGCCTGCAGGGAGGCTGCCGAGATGAGACCAAGCCCAGCACCCGGCATCTTAACACACACCACACCTTCCCTCACCCTGTTCCTCGCTGGCGTTTTACGAAAGGCAGAGAACCGGGGGAGGGGAGACAGCAGCTCCCCGCCCCCGTCCTCCGCACTCCTAAGCATCTGCTCCAGTGCGGGGGCAGGCACTTCCATCACACAGGGTGCCCACGGCCAGGGCACCGGGACAGAGGCGGCGGACGCAGGGCTGGCGGTTGCCAGGGTCCCCCCCCCAAGCCTCCTAAGGCAAAGACCAGAGCTGCAGACACAGCCCCGCCCCGTCCACAGAGGCCACGAGGAAGCATCTCACAGCCACGTTCATGGGGCACCGTGTGCCTGGTAGCAGCTCGGACAGGTCCGGTGGACCCGGAGCGGCCCTGAGGCTCATCCATCGAGGCTCCAGCGAGCTGGGCTCACGGGCCAGGATGAAAGCAGCGAGACCTCGCAGACAGCCGCGGGGAACACGCCGCGGGGACCAGCCGGCCCTCGGGGGCCCATTCTCGGCCCAGGGCAGGTCAGCGACGGCCAGCAAACTTCTCAATCTGGGAGGCCGCCAAGCCACTGGCTCCTTAGAAAACCAAGCTTGGGCTCAGCAGAGGCCGGACGAAGAGCGACAACAGAGGCACAGGCCCACGGCTGGACCCGCACCCGGACCACAGGCTCAACAGCGGCCTCCGAGCTCCCGTCCCCTTGGAACCCGTGAGTGAGACTTTGTCAACAGCCTCTGCGGAGGGCAGTCCGTGGGCCCTCTTGTGATGAGGTCATCGTGGATTCAGGGGAACCACGGGCAGGGGTCTGCCTTGGGGGAGGCCCAGAGGAGAAACGGGCCATGGGAGCTGGACGCACGGGGCCTGACTCCTGCCCCCCAGGCCGTGAGAGCACCATTCCTGGCGCTTGTCCGTGAGCCTTCGGCACGGCAGCCCCAGGAAACGCACACCGCTTCTCCACTGGCCTCAGCCTCAGTTTCCCTCTGTGGAGAGGGGACAAGAGCCACACGGACCCTCAGCTTCCTGAAGACACGCTGAGCTCGGCCCCGGGCCTGCACGTGTTCTCCTTCCTAAGGCGGCTGAGCCGTGCACGGGGCACAGAACAAGGTCTTGGTCCCACCGAGGCGCCGGCGCCCAGCAGAGCACTCCGACAAACTTGTGCCCAGTCCTGACTCCCTGGTCTTGCAGCAGCAAAGCGAGCAGGTGGGGACCTGTGGGGCCTCCTGTGCATGGTGGAAGATGGGGGTGAGGGCCTGGCCCAGAGGGGGCACAGGACTGCTCCCACTGACACACGTGGTGCCCCAGGGTTGGGCCGGCACCTGGCCTCCACGGCCCAGGGCCAGCCCACCTCCCACTCTTGCACTGAGCCAGACAGCAAGGGAGCAGGAGGTTGCACTGCGGGGGGCTCCAGAGGCTGGGAGACCCAGGTCCACTCCAGGCTCCACCCAGAGAGGGCCTGTAGAGCCCGCCCACTGCCCACACCCCCGGGCACAGCCCAGAGAGGACACTCACTTGGCTCTGGGTCCAACGGGCTCGACATCCATGGCGCAGATGAGACACAGACCTGCAAAGCAGACACAGGGTCACCCAGCTGTTGGGCACACACCTGGGGCCCCCAAGGGCTCCGTCACCACTCGGCGGTCCTCAGGGTCCCAGCAGGCCAATGAGGCTTCTGCCCGAAGCCGGCTCCCCTGACCCCCGTTGGGTCCCCTCCCGGCGAGGTGGCACAGCAGGGCAGTGAGTGGGCAGGGCTGGACTCAGGCTGGGGTCCCTCACAACGTGGCTGGAAGTCTGGGGACGACATGGCCTCCCGGGTCAGCAAGCAGGTGAGTGCGTGGAGGCCAGCGGCCGTGTCCACCAAGCACAGCCATCAGGGGCCTGCCACGGCCATGTCCACCAAGCACAGCCAGCAGGGGCCTGCCACGGCCATGTCCACCAAGCACAGCCAGCAGGGGACTGCCACGGCCATGTCCACCAACCACAGTGGCCTCCGCTTCCTTTTCCTTCTTAAATGCAGCGCCACCTACCACACTCTGAGAAACGTGCGGTGGGATTTCCTGTGCCTCGGGCGCATGGGGGCCCTTACACAAACCGATGTGCCCCGGGAGGACCAGGGTCACCCCCCCTGGTTCCCTTTCACACTGTGGAAAGCCCCGCCCAGCCCAGGGCTGTTGCCAGCACAGGCAGCTGCTGGAGCCAGAAGGCGGCCCCAGGACGTGGAACTGAACTTGAACCCAGCAGCACAGACCAGAGTCTCACGAGGGAGGTGTGGTTTGCACACACCCCCACCCCCCCACCCCCGCTCTGGAGGCTCTTGCCAGACCCTGGGGGCCGCCCCGCCCCCACTCCTTGCCCTTGAGCTCAATCTAGTCCCATTTTCCAGGGATGGGGCTGGCGTGGTCAGGCCCGCGAGTGACCCCGTCACACACAACCCTGGGTTCTGCGCTCGCCTGCCGGGCTCCACGTGCGTCCGTCTCCGTGAGCACCCGTCTCTGAGGCCCTTCCTCTCCCCTTTCCCCACGACCCACGGGGGAACTTGAAAGGCCTGCTCACGCCTCCAGTACGGGGGCTGGGCCGGGGCACCCGGGACACTCAGCTAAGGGCCCTCCTCCTTCCCCGTCTGGTCCACGTCCTGCGGTGGCACTTGCAGGGCGAGTGCTGATGGAACAGGTGCCACGCGGTGAGCACCCACAGTGCAGGGAGCCCTGAACCCCGGCCCACAGACCCTGCTCCAGCCTGCCCCTCCAGTGCCCCCCGGGGCTCCCGAAGCTCCCCTCTGGCCTCCCGGGTAACTGGCTGTTGAAGTGCAGCTTCCCGCTCAGGCAGGGTGGTCCCGGGAGAAGACGCCCATCCCAGGGCCCGGGCGGGAGCTTCCCACTGGGGCTTCTGCATCTCGAATCACGTACATCTCATCCCCCCTCTCCACTTTTATTTGCAATAAAACCACCCTTCAGCAGTGTGGCTGTGGGGATGACTCGGCTCTGCCGCACCCCGACTGTGCCCTAGACCTCGATCTTCTCACCTGTGGGTGCTCTGACCTCGGCTCTGCCGCACCCGATCTTCTCACCCATGGGTGCTCTGACCTCGGCTCTGCCGCACCCCGACTATGCTGCCTGGTGGGGGGAGGGGTCCCTGGACCCCGATCTTCTCACCCGTGGGTGCTCTGACCTCGGCTCTGCCGCACACGCTATCCGTGGCACCTGTGTGTGCGTGGGTGGGGGGCAGTGTCCAGGCCTCTCTTCTCAGCCTTTGGAGGGGGCAACAGCGATGTGGCCACCAGGTCAGGGCAATGGAAGGGAAAGGGAGTAAAACCCCAGTCCCGTATGGGGCTCAGCACCCAGGCCACCTTCCCGTACCCTGACCTCCAACACAGGGATCCCCGCAGAGACAGGGCGGCAAGGACACAGTGGGGAGCCGGGCGGCAGCGCTCACCGGGGAAGATGAAGATGAAGAAGGAACTGAGACCGCCGATGATGCCGATGACCTTGCTGAGGTCGGGCAGCGCCAGCGCCATGGCGAGCGTCACAGTGACCCACAGAACCGTCAGCGGCACGCGCACCCACGGCCCGGAGGGGTCGGCCAGCGCCCGGGGCCCCCAGTTCCCCCGCCAGCTCCTTGTCCAGAAGTCCTGCATCACCGACCTGCAGGCAGCACCATGGGCGACACGCGTGGGCATCCCCCCAGCCGCCCCGCCCAAGCCCGAGGGGCTCCATCACCCTGGGAGCAGGCAGCCAGCAGCGGTATGTGAAGGCAGAGCGCGGGCCGCCCCAGGCACCCCCCCACGCTCCCTGTGCCTCCACGTAACAGAGCCCACGCGGCAGCCCCACCCCCGGGCCAGGCCCCACCTGCCCAGGAAGAGCACGATGGGGTAGACGGTGACGACGGAGACTGCAAAGAGCACCCGGGCCACCACGACGGCCGCGTCGGTGCCCGGGTAGGACATCAAGACGTCGGCAGAAACTTGCGACCCGAATGTCAGGAAGCCGTAGACACCTGGCAGGGAGCAGAGGGTGGGGTTGTGGGAGGCTGATGAGCCACGTATGCCCTCCCTGCTCCCCGGCTGGACACACAGCAGCGCCAGCGGCTCTGCCACCCCACGTTTTCCCTAGGAGCTGTCAGAAGGTTCTAGAAGGGCTCCTGTTCCGCTCTCTCCCAGGGCTGTCCAGTCTGAAGACTGTTACCCTGCCTCACCACGTCGACCACCCCCAGACACCTGCCACTCATCCCCCCCCCAACAGCTCAGAGCCCGGGCCAGGGCCCCACCCACACAGGGCTGGCTGACAGAGGCCGGCAGCACCCCCCACCCCCCCACACACCCCCCAGAAGCAACAAACCAAGACCCAGGCGGCCAGCACTACCCAGAACCACTGCAAGGCCACGGCACCAGGACCAGAGCGCCATCCCGTGTTGCTGTCCCGAGATGTCCACCTCTGGCCCGAAGCCGTGGCCTTCCAGCTCCTCTGTGACCCTGCCGCCCTCAGCACCACGGCCATCTGCAGGGGGTACCCGGTCCCCAGGTCACCGCCCTCTCACCGGGGGCCGTACAGACCGCCGGCCATCTGCAGGGGGCACCCGGTCCCCAGGTCACCGCCCTCTCACCGGGGGCCATACAGACCGCCGGCCATCTGCAGGGGGCACCCGGTCCCCAGGTCACCGCCCTCTCACCGGGGGCCGTACAGACCGCCGGGACTTCCTCTGCCGCAGGCTTTCTGAGTAGTCTCAGGAGTTCCTGGGGCCCCACAATCCACTGCAGCCCAGAGGCTGGACAGCAGTCAGTCCCGAGGCGTGCCGAGGACGTGCAGTGTGGTCCTGGGCATGTCACAGCCCCTCTGAGTCACTCTTCCATCACCCTTGAAGACCCTGTGCCCCTGCACAGCGTGCCACGCTCAGGAGACGGCTTGGCACACTGCTACCCGGCTGCGGTGACCATTGTCGCTACCATTCCTCCTGCACTGGGGAGGGTGTGCAGGTAAGAGCCAGGCCAGAACTTGGGTTTCAGCTTTGCACCTCTGGTTGTGAGACCCCGGACGAGCTGCGGAAGCCCCCGAAGCCTCAGTCTCCCCACCTGGGAAACGGACGGGCACCGAGACCTTGCGGAAAAGCAGGCGGACCGCTCAGCACAGTGGCCAGCACAGGCCCCAGCATGCAGTGGGCTTCCTAGGACCCCTGCCACGATCTCCCCGGCCCCGGCCCTGGGCGCCCCAGGCGGGGCCTCACCTGTCAGTGAGTAGATGAGGCAGCAGCCCAGCAAGGACAGCACGGAGACCAGGGCCCAGCGGGCGAGGCTCTGCCCCCGCATGCTGCAGTACACAGAGACGGCAGCCTCGTGACACTGTAGACGGAAGGCGCAGCTCAGAGGGGCGGGGCGGGGGGTTGGGGGGCTGGGGACGGCAGCCTCGTGACACTGGATGGAAGGCGCAGCTCAGAGGGACGGGGCGGGGGCGGGGGCGGGGGCGGGGGTGGGGGGTGGGGGCGGGGGCTGGGGACAGCAGCAGAAGGCGGGAACGCAGGATGCGCAGACCGAAGACAGCACCCCACGGGCAGACCCTCACAGGCCCGAGAGCCCTTGCGTCACATGAGGCTCCAGGGACCAGACCTGCCGTCTGTGGTGGAGTGCCTGGGGCTCAGTGCCTCAGACCCTGGGCAGGTGCCAGCAGGTGCCCCACCCCACCTCAGACACGGCCGCACGGCCCAGGGCGGGGGACAGTCACCCCACAGAGGGTGGAAGGATGTCCAGGCAGGGCGGGGGCTGCTACCTGGGTCAGGGGCTGGCGATGGCCATGGGAGAGCACGCGCTTAGCATCCCTCAGGTTCTATGTGGGACCAGAACCTTGGACAGTTCCCACCGTCACATTCATCTGCTCACCAAACACACCGATGCCTCCTTGCCGCCACTCACTGAGCCCCGATGCCCGGCCCCTCTCCGTTGCCCTGGGGCCTCTGCCTGCGTCCCCCACCCCACTCCTGGCCGGGCTTCCCTCCTGGTCCAGTGGGCCAGGCTCGGCCTTTGGGGGCAAGCCCCCATGAGCACTGTTCCAGGGCCTGTCGGCTGGGGGAGGCAGGGATCTCATCGGCCTTGCTCTGGGCTCCGTCGCACCTGGGACAGACGCCCCCGGGGTCACCCACTGGCCTCCCCTCGGCTCCACAGCTCGCCCTCCTTCAAAGGCTTGCAGAGTCCGACGGGCGACAGTCGGGGACGCCGCTGAACGCAGTGGTGGCCACACAACCCACGTTCTGCGGGTGGGTGAGGCATCCCGACAGCCCCTCCGGGTTCCAGCCCAGGAGAGCGGGATGCTGCTTCCCCAGGGGCCGAGGCTCAGGGCGGCCGTGCCCCTGGGCTTTCAGCCCTGGTCCCCTGCTCTCCTGCAGTCCCGGGGCTGCCGGCGAGCCCCGCCAGGCAGAGAGGCCTTCGCGGTCCCGGGGACCTCCGCTGCGGGCTCCACTAGGCTGTGCCTGACCTCCTGCTCCTGCATGCTCGCAGGGCGCCCCGGGAGCCCTGCACGGCTCCTCCCTGCCTCGCCCCTCCTGCTCTTGAACAGACAACTTGAAAGTCAGAGTTGTAAGAAAACAGGGCCACAGAACACAGGAGACAGGGTATGAACTTGGAGCCAGAACGAATTAACGCACAGAAAATAAACCTGCAGGGCTGGGTGGGCAGCTGCCCGCGTGCACGCAGACCCAGCAGGCTGGGTCTTTGTGTATCTTAGGTGGGCTAGGGGGTCGGGTGGGGGGGCAGTAGGCGGAGCTGGGCTTCTCCATACTGGTTCCTCAGGTTTGGCCCTAGAGCGAGAGCTCCACGTGCAGAGGTACAGCCGAACTGCTGCGGGCAGGAGACGGCGGCACAGGCGGGCTGCAGGCAGCCGCCCCGTGGCTCCCATGCTGGGTCTCCAGGGGCAGACAGGGCACAGGAGAGCGAGCGGCTGGTGGCACGTAAGCTACCAGGTGTTCAGTACGGAGGTGGGACAGAGAAAGAAGACACGTCCAGGTAGCCGCCAAAACCACAAGCAGCCCAGATGTCCATCAAGGGACAGCGGTTAGGACGCCCACATTGCCCATCACAGCACCTCCATCCGAGTCCCAGCCACGCTCCGCTCCCTGTCTCCCTAGCAGACAGCGGTGCCGGCCCTCCAGTCCTTGGACCTCTGCCACCTCCGTGGGAGATGCAGACTGAGGCCCCCACTCCCGGCCCCGGCCTGGCCCAGCCCCAGCTGCTACAGGCAAGTAGGGAGTGAACCGGCAGATGGAAGATCTCCGTCTACCTTTCAGATAAAAATGAAAATCAGTAATTTTTTTAAAGATTTATTTACTCGAGAGGTAGAGTGAGAGAGAGAGAGAGTTAGAAAGAGAGAGAGCGAGAGAGAGGTCTTCCAGCTGCTGGTTCACTCCCCAAATGGCCACAACGGCTGGAGCTCAGCTGATCCAAAGTCAAGAGTTTCCACGCGGGTGCAGGGGCCCAAGCACTTGGGCCATCTTCTACTGCTTTCCCAGGGCATAGCAGAGAGCTGGATTGGAAGTGGAGCAGCTGGGACTCGAACCAGTGCCCATATGGGATGCTGGCATTGCAGATGATGCTTAACCTACTAACCTACTACAACACAGTGCTGGCCCAACAAATATGCTTTTTTTAAATTTATTTATTTACTTGAAAGTCAGAGTTACATGAAGAGAGAAGGAGAGGCAGAGGGAGAAGAGAGAAGTCTTCCATCCAGTGGTTCACTCCTCGGTTGTGCCAATCCAAAGCCAGGAGCTTCTTCCAGGTCTCCCATGCGGGTGCAAGGGCCCACGGATTTGGGCCATCCTCATTGCCTTCCCAGGCCATAGCAGAAAGTAGAGCAGCTGGGACTTGAACTGGCGCCCATATGGGATGCCGGCACTGCAGGCTGCGGCTTCACCCGCTATACCATAGCACTGGCCCCCCAATAACAATGTTTTTAAAAGGACAAGTGAGCAGGCAAAATGTGGTGTATCCATATGGTGGGACACTATTCGGCCACCGGAGGCTGAGTCCAAGCCACACACAGTGGCCGGGAGTCCACCACGACAAGTGCAGCCTGACAGGCTGCGGAAGCGAGGACAGGAAGCCACTATAGAGGGGAACGGGGGGTAGGGGCATGGCCTGGCACTGTGGCCACCTGATAAAGCCACCACCTGCAGAGCCAGCATCCCATATAGGTACCCACTCAAGTCCTGGCTGCTCCACTTTCAATCCAGCTCCCACTAATAACCTGGAAAGCAGTGGAGGATGGCCCAAGTGCTTGGGCCCCTGCACCCATGTGGGAGACCCGGAAGAGGCTCCTGGCTCCAGATGTGCCCAGCTCTGGCAGTTGCGGCCATTTAGGGAGTGAATGAGCAGATGGAAGACCCCTCTCCCTCTCCCTCTCCCCCTCTCTAACTCTTGATGGAACAAGGACGTAAGTCCCAATCATTTTAGGTTCCTGCTCCCCTGCCTTTTCTCCAGAGACCAGCTCGGGCTCACAGCCTGCGTTCCTCCGCAGGCCTGGGAGCCAGTGGGCCAAACCTGAGGAACCAGTATGGAGAAGCCCAGCTCCGCCTACTGCCCCCCCCCACCCCGACCCCCTAGCCCACCTAAGATACACAAAGGCCCAGCCTGCTGGGTCTGCCTGCACGCGGGCAGCTGCCCACCCAGCCCTGCGGGTTTATTTTCAAATAAAAACGTTTTTAAAAAGAGGGAGATGGGCTCCCTTCTGGGGGTGATGGCTTCTGAAACAGACCCCTGTGAGGGGCCGAGACTGTGGACAGCAGAGCCACTCAGGTGCCCACGGAGGAGGGCAGATGGCCCAGGTGGTGTGCCGTCCTCCACAGAGCCGGTCCAAATCGACCCTGGAGCCCCAGGGTGTGGCCGCAGTGACCCCAGCACCCTTCTGCTCGCACAGGCTTTGGGGGCAGGGGCGCCCCAGCGCTGATGGGGGTGGGGGCTGGCGGGCTTGAATCTGGTCAGTTCCTGACAACAAGGATTACCCTCCCCTCCCTGTGGGGGCCCCCACCCCACATTGTCCCATCTCCGGCCACCTTCTCCTCCACTCAGTCTCCCCCACCCCAGATCCTGGGAGCCTCCAGCCTGAGCCCCCACCCACACCCATGGATTCCAGTCCTCCCGGCTCCTCCCCATGGCATCCGTGTCCTTGGAAACCACGGTTGCCAGGAGACATGGCTGAGCACGGCAAGGCCAGGGCGAGAGGGCAGGCAGCCCCAGCGTGAGTCTGGGTGACTCAGTGCTGGGCAGGGGAGCGGGGCTAGGGGACGAAGCGCAGACACATGGGGGTGGCGCAGATGGCACAGCCGGCACGGCAGACCCTTCAGAACACTGGGAGTGAGAGACGCGAGCAGTGGAGGCCGCCGGCTGGGCCGACGCGAGGCACCGTCCTTTTATAGGGAAAAGGAACGCAAAGGGCTTAGGGTATGTTTTTTAAAAAAATAGTTTTCCAAGAAAATTCAAGATAAAGAACAGAATCAGAGCTGGCCGATGGACAAAGGAGGGAGAGTCCTCAGCAGGCCTGTGGGTCCTCAACAAAGTCCCTGCGTGAACTTGACCTTGCTGGTGGTGCAGGGGGGCAGGCTTGTGGGAGGCGGGGGCGAAATTCCCCACAAATCAACACTAAGGGCCACCACCTGCCAGGACGCCCACAATGGCCGGGTCAGCCGGGAGCCTGGACACGAGCCCCGCCCTCCCCTGCCCTCAGCACCTGCCGCTGAGCCCTGGCAGCTCTCCCGACGTGCCTCACCTCTGCTGACCTCTCTGCCTGGACAGCACAGCACGCCCCCTTCTCTGGACGCCTCCCGCACGCCCCCTGGTGAGATTCTACCCACACAGCCCGGCCCTTACTCCAGGGACATGCTGCCCGACCCCGCCCACTCAGCCACCTCCAGCCGACCCTTCCTCTCCACGGTCCCCTAAGCAGCACCCACCTGCATCTGTCCTGCAGTCTCCAGGCCCGGGGACAGTCCTGGGACTGACCACAGAGGGCGCAGGCCCCAGAGCCTGAGTTCTACCCCACACACCACAAGCACGGCAGGGCTGCTGTGGGTGCGAGCCAGGCTCACGTTCAATGGCGGGCGACTCATGCCTCCCCGTGCCAGACACCTCCCCTCCCCCCAAGGCCACCTGCAGGCCAAGAACCCCCTCATCCCAGAGCAAGACCTCCAATGCGTCCACGCTCTCCCCAGGGAACGCGGCCCCCTGGGAACGTCCACAGCGCTGACGTTACCTGAAAGCCGAAGCAGATGGTGGGGAAGACGCTGAAGACGGAGGTCCAGGAGGACGGGCTGTGGACAGACAAGGATGGGGCCGGTTAGAGAAGGGCACGACACGCGGCCACCGCACGCTTTGGAGCCGGACAGAGACAACACCGGGGCTGGGAAAGTGGAGGTGCTTCCCAGAGGCCACGCGCCCTAAATATACCACATGGGCAGAGCCTGCGCAAGGCAACAGCTAGGAGGCACTCCCGGCTCCCCGGAGGGTGCCAGCCTCTCCCCCACGGACCCCAGCGGCACAGGGCTGGCTTGACCTCTGACCAGGCCACCAAGGGGCAGAAGCGCACGCACAGATTCCTGAGGTCCAGCAAGGGGCAGAAGCGCACGCACAGATTCCTGAGGTCCAGGCCTGTGAGCAGCACCCCCACCCCCGGCGAGCCCCGCTTCCCCTGATGAGCACCTGTTAGGTAGGAAGCTAGAAACCAGCCTACGTGCGAGAGGGGCCCGAGGACAACAGCGCATCTGCAGGAGCTCACCGTGGACGCAGCCCGGGACTTCACACCACAGAGTCCTGCCCAGACCTGGTCACTTTACAGGGCTCCCAGCCTGCCCCCAGGACAACCTCTCCTCAGCCCCAGATGGGTTACCCGGCCTGCTAACCCGGGGAATAAAACCTTTCCATCCTTTCTCTAGGGCAGGCACCTAGGGGAGGCGCCTCTGCCCGGGGCCAGGTGGGCTCCCCAGTCTGACAGCACCGAGCAGAGAACCTGGGGAGGAAGTTCACTACTCACACCAGCAAACGCCGCCCTGGGGGAGGAGGAGATGAAGGAGAAATGGCAGGGAGAACCGGACCTCTCTCCCCTGTAAGCCCTGGCCTGAACTCTCTCCTGAGCCACCCGCCTGGCCTCCCAGTTGGATTCTCGCCATTTAACCACATAACCTTGCTTCCCCAATCGGAGTGGCTGGGTGCCCTCTCTGGATTCTGTCCCATCTGTTTTGACGGATGCCCCCCCCCCCCCAATAAACCCTGCTACCTTGTTGACCACTGCTCTGTTTCATGTTTGAACTCTTTTTTAAGATTTATCTTTATTTATTTGAAGGACAGAGAGAGAGAGAGAGAGAGGTCAAGACACAGAGAAAGGTCTTCCATCTGCTGGTTCACTCCCCAGATGGCTGCAATGGCTGGAGCTAAGCTCAACCAAAGTCAGGAACCAGGGGCTTCCTTTGGGTCTCCCACATGGGTGCAGGGGCCCAAGGACTCGGGCCATCTTCCACTACTTTCCCAGGCCATAGCAGAGAGCTGGATCAGAAGAGGAGCAGTCGGGACTCGAACCGGTGTTCATACGGGATGCTGGTACTGCAGGCGGCGGCTTTACTCACTACGCCACAGCGACAGCCCCAAACTCTTTCTTGCATGAAGACAAGAACCTACACCACCTGTCTCCACTAACATCTCTTCCTGCTGTGTCTCCTGCTTGTCCAGAATCACGGTCCCCAGAGAGGGTGGTCTTACAGGGCAGGAGGGACTCAGCAAACGTACTCAGGCATTTGGGAGACGGGGAGCTTCTCCCAGGCATCCGGGCGAGCCCAGGTCCCACACTGGCCTGGAAATCGGAGACCTGGCTGTGGTCAGAGGGAGCTGTGAGAAGCAGGCCAGGCAGACAGGACGCATGGCCTTTGAGACGTAGGCGGGGCTGCAAGCCAAGGAATGTGGGCAGCTCCTGATACTGGAGGTGGCAGGAAACGGGTCCTTCCTGTGTCCCAGACGACACGGCCCGCGCGCCCCTGCACGTCAGCCCAGGGAGGCCCCGCCCGGCTCCTGCCCCTGGAGCTGTGACACGACACATTGTTCTGCCAAGCCGCAAGCATGCGCTTATTCGTCCCAGCAGCCACAGGAAACCGAGGCAGTGGGGCTGCCGCTCTGCCGACTGGGACTCGGGGGCCGGCCCCCAGCCACCCTGCCCGATGCGCCTGCGTGGCACTGCGAGGGGCGGCTGGCCACACCTGCCCAGCCCCGGGCCGCAGGCGCTGTACCTCTCGTTCCCTGGACTGTTGAGCACACGGATGAACAGCGGACCCTGCCTGGCCCGTGTCCACTCTCCCCTTCAGCAGGAACGTGGCGCGACCTCTGCCCCAGACTCCAGAGACCGCAACCTCCTCCTGGGCCCCTTGGGCGCTGCAGCTCGTCACGTGACTGTACGCAGCAGGGAGAAACCCCGTGCCCAGGGCTCAGCCCCATGCAACCCAGGGGAACGTGCGGGGGCCAACTGCCCCGATCCCCCCCAGGTTTTATTCGCCGACTTCTGGGCTTGCTTTCTATCATCCTCTACACCAGGCTGAGCTGTGAGGGGCTCCCCAGGTTCCCCCAGAACCTCCACGTGCAGCCTGATTCGGAAGGCAGGGCCTCGGGTGGGCCCCAGTCCAGGGGCCACCGCCCCTCCAGGCAAAAACACAGACGCCCAGGGGGACGGCCACAGGGGACGTGGGCCGAGGCTGCAGGGCCAAGCTTACACGCCGAGGTACAGAGACGGCTGCCCAGCACCGGGAGCCAGGAGCGGCAGGAGGGAGCCTGCCTGGGAGCCCCAGAGAGTGCACGGCGCCGCCCACGTCTTGGGTTTGAGCTCCTCCCCTCCAGGAGGGATAGGGAGACCTCTGGTGTGTTGTCTCCCAGGGTGTGTCCCTCAGATACCCACGCCCTCCGCACCCACCACTCCCTCCAGATCCCCTCCCCCCACTCAGGGCCACGCGCCCCTGCCCGGAGAACAGGTCTCGGCACCCCCGGGCCAACACCACCTGGCTTTCTCCCTGTAGCCTGGATCTCGCCGGCTGTGCTGCGCACACAGGAGACAGATCTACAAGGCAGCCCTGTGAGACGGCTCCACGTGTCTCCAACCTCCCTCCCCTGCCCCCGCCCCCAGTCTTCACCCCGGGCCAAGAACTCACCCTGGCGCCACCACGCCCACCCGCTGGCTGCACAACTCGTAGGGCCCAGTAGTTAACGATGATGAAGAATCATACGACACAGGGCCCCGAGCTGTGGCACAGTAGGTGAAGCTGCCACCTGTGATGCTGGCATCCCAAGACCCAGCTGCTCCACTTCCCATCCAGCTCCCTGCTAATGGCCTGGGAAAAGCAGCAGAGGACGGCCCACATGCTGGGGCCCCTGGATCCACGTGGGAGACCAGGAGGACGCTCCTGGCTTCAGCATGGCCCAGCCCTGGCTGTTACTGCCATCCAGGGTGCGAAGCAGTGAGGGCAGACCTACTTCTAACTCTGCCTTTCAAATAAACACATCTTTAAAAAAAAATCTTAAGACACAAGAGAGCGCTCGTCACGGCCCCCGAGCCGACACTGCCGCCGGCAGTCTGGTTTCAGGTACGCCCACACTCCGCCCGCTTCTCGTGGCCAGGAGACCACCTGGTCCGAGGCCTCGGAGCCGGCCAGGGGCCTCCTCCCTGCCTCCCCATCCCCGTTCCTGCCTCAGAACCGCTGGGGGCTTCAACAGGAACCACGGTGTCTCCCAGGCTGGCCCACCACGGTCCCAGCACCCAGCGTGACTCCGCCTGCCCCGGCTTGGGCCGCCCCGGCCTCCTCGCCACTCCCCCTGCCCAGGCTCCGGCATCTGCACCTGGGGTGCCGCTCAGTGCCGGGACCTGGTCACCCCAAGCAAGCACCGCACAGGTCCCCAAGGAGGACAGGGGCCTTGCCTGGGCTCCGCCTCGTCAGATGCAGTGCACCCAGCAGCCAGGGTCCATGGCGTCCCCCCCCCTCCCCCGGAAACTGTCCCGTCAGACTCACCCCAGCGAAGGAGGGGGCTCGCGGACGAGGCCCTGGGGCCGGAGGTAGTACTGCGCCGTGATGACCAGGGCCAGGTAGCAGGCGGCCAGCGTGCCCAGGATGCTGACAGAGGGGACAACACAGGCCCTCAAACCCAGGGCCAGGCCCAGCGGGGTGCCCGACACCCCGCTCTGGCCTTCCCACAGAGGCCGGCCGAGCTCTGCGCCTGCACAGTGGGGCGGCGTGGGGGCGCTCTGGATGGAGCCCGGCTGGAACCCCCAGCAGTGCCTGGCACAGCCGTGGACGCCGTCGCCAACAGCTTCCTCCTCACCCACAGAGGCCAGCGGCCACTGGGAGCTGGCACCAGTCAGGACGGCATCCGCTCAGCCACGTCCGAGAGGGCAGGGGCCCCAGGCAGGGAACCCCTCGGGGGCGGCAGGCGAGGCGGCGGCTCCCGCTTCTGTGTCTGTGTCCTGCCTCACGTGGAGCGGCGCAAGGCGCGCGTGAACCTGCGTGGAGACGGCGGCCAGGCCTTGCCCGTCCGAAGCGCACGTGAAGCCTCTGACCGCGAAACGCAGCAGAGGGCCTGTGTGCGCGTCTGTGCGCCTCTCTGTGCACCACTGCCTGTGTGTGCTCCTGTGTCACAGCCTAAATGCACACCTGTGTGTCCGCCTACGTGTGCACCTCACTACCTCGTGTACACGTGTGTCTGTGTGCGTCTCACTGCCTCGTGTGCACGTGTGTGCACGTCTGTGTGCGTCTCACTGCCTCGTGTGCATGTGTGCCCAGCTGTACGTGCATCTCTGCACCTGTGTGTGTCCCTGTGTACCTGTGTATCACTATGTGTGCACCTGTGCGTCACTGTGTGTCCCTGTGCACCTGTGTATCACTATGTGTGCACCTGTGCGTCACTGTGTGTCACGGTGTGTGTCCCTGTGCACCTGTGTATCACTATGTGTGCACCTGTGCATCACTGTGTGTCACTGTGTGTCCCTGTGTATCACTATGTGTGCACCTGTGCGTCACTGTGTGTGTCCCTGTGCACCTGTGTATCACTATGTGTGCACCTGTGCGTCACTGTGTGTCTGTGTGTGTCCCTGTGCACCTGTGTATCACTATGTGTGCACCTGTGCGTCACTGTGTGTCTGTGTGTGTCCCTGTGCACCTGTGTATCACTATGTGTGCACCTGTGTATCACTATGTGTGCATCTGTGCGTCTTGCCATCCCTGTGCACATCTGTATGGACGTACTTGTGTGTCACTGTGTCCGTGTGTGTGTCAGTATGTGCATCAAGTCCTCTGTTTCAGGATTTCTTATTCTGCTTATCTTTAGGGCCTGCCTCCAGCTCTGTGGGCTCCTTATCCCGGGATCCCACCGGTGTGGGTGTGGCCTGGGAGTGTCCCAGTGCTGCTGACAGGCCCTGCTGTGTGGCCTGCACAGCGGCCTCTGTACTGGGCACGCGCAGACTTCTCTCATCACTCCCCACGAGGGCCGAGTGGTTAGCTTTCCTGCCATGGGGGTCACATGTAACGTTAGTTCCACATATGACTACGTGAACTTCATGTTCTCACAGGCATTAGGGATTCTCAGTCACCTAGGCGTGACCTGACGCACACGAGGGGACGTGACGGGTTCTACGTGAATATGACGTCCTCTCCTCAGGGGACCCGAGCACCTGCAGATGCTGGCATCCGCGTGGACGCTGACGGGCGACCACTTTGTCTGGCGTCCGCACCATTTGTGCCACGTGTCGTTCCCCCCTTCTCCCAGTGGCAAGGTCAACCCCACGTCACAGAGTTCGACAAGGCTAGGGCAGGGCCGTGGCGGTCTTACCTGGTGTACTTCTGGAAGGCAATCTCCCGCGGGGCCGACAGCGGCAGGATGACCAGCGCCGAGAGCAAGGGCAGCGTGAAGCGCTGGTCGGCGTACCAGGGCTGTGTGGCCAGCAGGGCGCCGGGCAGAAGGGAGTCGCACACTGGCAGAGACAGGGCAAGGAGCTGAGCCGCACGGCCTTGGCCCTGCGGGTCCAGGAAGCGGGGCGGGGCCTCCCGCCTGGCTCTCGGCCCTAGGGGAGGTCCCCATGGGTGCTCAGTCAGCCCCAGGAGCCCAGGGATGGGATGGGAGCGAGAGACGGGGCCAACCACCAACCCCCCCGCAGGAAGACTCGAGCTGTGGAGCTTCTGGGAGCAGGCACTGCGCTGGGCGCCGGGACCCAGCCCCAGGCACACAGACACATCACCAGGCCGAAGCCCCTTGCTGTGTCATGCAGGTAATCAAAGGTTGCAGGGGCCCGCAGGGGATCTTGGCCACAGCAGGGGGCAGCTGAGCTGCTCTGGGTCTGTGTGCAGCTGTCCACCGCTGCTGCCCAGTGAATTATCTCAGGAAGACTAACCAACTGGACGTCACAAACTTTCGGGAGAGTCAGGGCAGGGCTGAGCCAGCCAACCCTGCTCCAAGGAAGGATGAGCCAGGGTCCCGGGGACTGCTCGGCGGGTCCCGGGGCTGCTCGGCGGGGCTCGAGGCCTCCACCCCACGCCTGGCCCCACCCTGCAGGCTCAAGGTCTCTCCACCTGGCCTCTCAGCCAGCCGGGGCTCCTGCTGCCCCCCTTTTATTTATTTTTTAAAAATTAATAAATAAATACATCTTTTTAAGTCAGAGTTACAAAGAGAGGAGAGGCAGAGAGAGAGAGAGAGAGTGAGAGAGCAAGCATGATAGAGAGGGAGAGAGGGAGGGAGGGAGGTCTTCCTTCCAATCACTCCCCAGTTGACCGCAACGGCCAGAGCTGTGCCGATCCGAAGCCAGGAGCCAGGAGCTTCTTCCAGGTCTCCCACGTGGGTGCAGGGCCCCAAGGACTTGGGCCATCTTCTACTGCTCTCCCAGGCTACAGCAGAGCTGGATCGGGAGTCAAACAGCCAGGCCTTGAACCGGCACCCATATGGAATGCCGGCACTGCAGGCGGCGGCTTTACCTGCTACACCACAGCACTGGCCCCTGCCCCTCCTTTGAAAGGCCAGGCCCAGAGCCAGTGTCCTGTCCACCACACTCTGGAACAGAACTGTCCCTGGCCCACTGAGTCCAGGGCAGGGCACACAGACCCTACCAACCTCTCAGTGGAAGCTGCACCAAAACGTCTGGGGTGGTTTTCACTCTGCCACAAATGTGGACAATCCGGAGTTGGTGCTCAGGCAGGACACATGATGGGGAGGTCACAGGCAGCCTGAGACAGGGGCGACTGGCAACACAGGTGAAGCGGCCCCTACTGAGCCCGGAGGGGCAGCAGCCGTGGAGGCAGCAGTGGCAACTGGTGGCCGGGAGTGGTTTGTGTTGCTGTAAAACAGCCCCTTTGGGCTGGCGCGGTGGCCCGGTAGGTGAAGCCACGGCCTGCAGTGCCGGCGTCCCCTATGGATGCCAGTGTAGTCCCAGCTGCTCCAGTTTCTATCGAGCTCTCTGCTAATGTGCCTGGTGCTTGGGCCCCTGCACCCACGTGGGAGACCTAGAAGCTCCTAGCTCCTGGCTTCAGATCGGCCCAGCTCTGGCCATTGTGGCCATCTGGGGAGTGAACCAGCAGAGGGAACATCAACCTCTCTGCCTCTATAACTCTGCCTCTCAAATAAATGAATGATCGTTAAAATAAACCCCTTTGTTCTCATCAAAAACCCTGCAGAGCCAGCTCTACAATTAACTCCACACCCTCTAAGGGTAGTGGGTTCGCTGAACTGCCTTGTGGAGTCCACAGCTCAGCAGTCACACAGAGGCACCGTGGGGGAGAGTGCAGCAGGTGTCCCGTGCTGGAGAGAACTCAGGCGGGCTTCAGAACCCCACATGGCAAGGGATGGGCCTCAAGTCCTTCTCTGTCTGGGCCATCTGAGCCTGGAAACCCCAGCTCCTACGTCAGGAATGCCAGCCCCTTGCTAAACCCGTAGCTTCCAGGAAATCCCCTGGGGTCTGCAGCACTGACGACACGAGCTCACTGGCACCCAGCACTGCGATGAGGACTCCCAAGCACCCCATTCTCTCTTCAGCACCCCTCCCAGAAGCCCGAGCTTGCCCGCAGAGTGGCACGTGCCCCAGTAGCCCAGCAGGAAGACACGAGCAATGCCCTGTCCACCCGGAGTGGGAGGGGCTCGGGCCCCCAGCGGTACTCTAGCCGGGCAGCACGCTGGACCCACGAGCCCAGAGTCCTTCAACACAGCAGCACCACCAGCTGGCTGGGGCTCAAACTGAACTCCACTGTCCCTGGCATGCAGGGCGTTCTGTGTCCACGGCCCCCAGGCAGTTCAGCCACCACGACCCTGCTGCCTTGTGGGATAGCACAGTAGCCTTGACTTCAATAGCAGCAGCCAAAGGCCTTAGCACTTTTTTTTTTTTTTTTTTAATTTGAAAGTCAGAGTTACAGAGAGAGAGGAGAGGCACAGTCAGAGAGAGGTCTTCCATCCACTGGTTCACTCCCCAGTTGGCCGTAATGGCCGGAGCTGTGCCTATCTGAAGCCAGGAGTCAGGAGCTTCTTCCGGGTCTCCCACATGGGTGCAGGGCCCAAGGACTTGGCCATCTTCCACTGCTTTCCCAGGCCACAGCAGAGAGCTGGATGGGAAGTGGAGCAGCCGGGTTTTAAACCGGCGCCCATATGGGATGCAGGCACTTCAGGTGGTGGCTTCCCCCACTATGCCATAGCGCCAGTCCCCTTTTCACTCTTAGGTCAAGAGACAGAACCCACACATAGCAGAACTGGGGCTGACGCTGTGGGCCATGAGGTGAAGCCGCCACTTACAATGTGAGCATCCCAGGTGCGCACCTGCTCAAGTCCCGGCTGCTCTGCTCCGGCTCCCTGCTCGGTCACCTGGAAGGCAGTGGAGATGGTCCCAGGACGAGGGTCCCTGCCAACCACATGGGCGGCTGGGAGGGAGTCCTGGCGCCCGGCTTTGGCCTGGCTCACTCCTGGCTATTGTAGCCATTTGGGGATTGCACCAGCAGGCAGAAAATCCTTCCTCTGCCTTTTAAATAAATTGTTTAAAAAGTAAAATCAGACTTAAATCAATCCAATGGATAATCACATTCCAATTAAATTCCCACTAAAAATGCAAGATCCTGAAGATCATTAAAAGGAAACAAGGCAAGGCCTGGCCATCTGTGATCGACACGTGAGACGCATTTTGAGATCTGGAGCCACAGCTCAGCCCCGAGTGACAGGAGAGCTGCGTGCGGACTCCACCCCTGAGCAAGCTGGGAGGGAGGGACGTTCCGTAAGGAGAGGAGGCGCCTCTCCAGGGAGCTTCAAAAACCCGAGAGCAAGCGACAGAAATGCAGGCAGGACAGGCGAGTGCGCAGCGCAGCTGGGGGTTTCGACAGCCCCCTTAGAAACGGGCGGGGAACTCGGACGACAACAGAAACCAGCGAGGCTGCTACGGCAGACGCGAGCCGAGCTGCCGGCCAGCCTGACCTCGGGGCGCTCCCAGCACCCTGGACGGGGAGTCGCGGGGGTCCCCACCTCCCAGAGCACGTGGGCCGCTAGCGCAGCTCCCTCCTCAGCCAGGGCCCAGGTCTCAGACTGCCGGAGACGAAGTCACACAGAGCCTGCGCTCCGACCACCGGGCCATTCAAGCAGAGACCAAGAAGGCATCTCGGAAACCGGCCATTGACCGAGAACCTGCACGCCAGGCATCAGAGACAGCGCAGCCGACACTTGCCATGCGTGGGGAACGTGTGCACACGGGCCACGGGCAGCTAGGGCAGCCCCGCCGTCCCAGCAGGAGAGCTGTGACTGGGTCTCTCCCGGGAGCTGCTGCTCCTCCCCATCTGGGCAGCAGGTTCTCCACAAGACGCCAGCCGCAGTCGCGGGCCCTTTCCCACGCCCTCGCGTCACTCCTGTCCTCCCCCACCCCGCCGGGAGCTCAGGCTGCCCCCTAGGGCTCCACCCGCACTCCACTTCCCACTCGCCCTCGGGGCCCCGGCTACAGGCACTCACACTTCTCCAGCTGGTCGCCGGTCACCCGGAGGAAGGCCACGGAGATCATGAGCAGGTTGGCGATGAAACAGGCCTCGCACAGCTTCCCGACCGCGGGGCCGCACAGCCCTCGCACCACGCCCTGGTAGGTGCCCTGGCCGCTGCAGGCGGCCGCATAGCCCAGGATGACCAAGCCGCTGATTAGGAAGACCAAGGACACCTGCGGAACAGATCCCCGAGGCGCTGTCACCCCGTGCTGACATCAGAGCCGCACAGCGGGTGGGTCCTGCCGGCCTCTGGGGCTCCACGTCCATCAGCCTGGGATTCGGACAGCTTTGTGCCTCAGCGGGACGCAGGAGGCAGCAGACCCCCACGCCGCCTGGTGTGTTAGCGTGGCAGGGAACAGAGTGGTTAGGCCATTTGGGGAGTGAACCAGTAGATGCAAGATCTGTCTCTGTCTCTGCCTCTCTGTCATTCAAATAAATAAATCTTAAAAAAAAAAAAGCTCACCACAGAAAGGGCAGCTCAGGGCCAGCGTGGCGGTGCAGCGGGCTAAGCCACCGCCTGCGACGCCGGCATGCCCCATCAGCGCACTGGTTCAAGTCCCGGCTGCTCCGCTTCAGATCCAGGTCCCCGCTAACCTGCCTGCAAGGGCAGTGGATGGTGACCCAAATACTTGGGCCCCTGTCACTCATGCGGGAGACCCCGATGGAGTTCCCAGCTCCTGGCTTCCGCCTGGCTGGCCCTGGCTGTTGCAGCCATGTGGAGAGTGAAGCAGCAGTGGATGGAAGATCTCTACGTCTCTCTGCCTTTCACCCCAGTAACACAGACGCACCCCACCCCCATCCACCTGGGGAAGAGCGCTGGGAAAGTCAAATGCGGCTGGGACGTTTGGGGCTCTGCTTCCCATGGATGCCTGGGCTCCGGGGCTCCCTGCCAGGGGGACAGCAGGACACCCAGCAGGCAGGAGCTGGCCACCCTGGAGGCCCTGCAGGCCTGGCCCAGCTCTGGGAGGGAGCTTTGGGCAGTGCACACCAGCCCCCGGGCTCCATGTGCCTTCTGTTGTTGAGCTGAGACCAGCAGGCAACAAAGACGGGCTGGGGAGGCAGGCTGCTGGGAGACGGCTCCTCCGGGCCACAAGGCCAGGCACACAGAGCAGGCACAGCAACGCCACTGCTTCTGCCCGCCCGCCGTGGGTCAGCCCGCGGCAGCCATGGTGGCAAAGTGTGCCGTCGGCCCAGGGCCACGGGGGGATTCTCTTCCACCCAGACAGCAAGCAGGGCGGCAAAGCCAACGCCGGAGCCAGAGCTCAAGAGCCAGGCAGCGCAGCGGAGGCAAGGCTTGGAGCCCCACCCGGAGACCCCAACAGGCTTGCCGGGACTTACCAGCTCCACCAGGAGGGCGGGGAGCACGCCCCCCGCCCTGTGGAAGGCCCAGGGGAAGTTGAGCAGGCCGGCACCCAGCGCAGACTTGAGGAGAATAAAGGCAGCGCCCAGCGGCGACAAACTGGGGGCGGCGGCGGCCAGGAGGGGCTTTTCTGCAGGGTGCCCGCTCTCCGGGCTCTGGGACTTCATGGCTGGAGGCGGCAGAGGGAGAGCCCTGTCACCCAGTCTTCCTTCCCTGTCCTCCAAGTTCAAGGCGCCTTCTGGGGACCTGGCAGAGAGCGCCAGGGCACGGAGCAGGCCCCTCTCCTCGGCCCCCACTGCCTCTCCCCAGGGCAGGATACCTTCACGCCCCCAGGACTTCTGCGCCGCCCCCAGAACCTCAGCCCCGCCTGCGAGTCACCCTGAGGCCTTCCTCCTGCCCACTCTTCTCTTCCAGACCTTCCTCTTCCCCACCCACTTCTGCGCTTCCCCCCCAACACCTGCACCCTCAGGGCCCGACCCCTCCTTACCACCAAACGCAGACACACAGCCAGGGAGCCCACCCTCAAGGCAGGCACTAGGCGGGCTCACTCCAGGCGGCTCGGCCGAGGCAGACGGGTTCTGCCAGGTGAGTTAGTGAGTCCTCCAGGCATTGGGCCCCAGAGGGCACGTGCTGGGGTCAGGACCCCACGCCTACGCGGGAGGAGACAAAGGGACAGGGCCGCCAGTCCCAACAGCCGGCAGCTTCTGAGATTTCTGACCTGGTCATGGAGTCTTAAGACTCCCCACCCGACCCGGACCCCGTGCAGGCCCCTCCCCAGGGCGGGGCCTTCCAGCTGCCCTGGAGGGTTAGAGGGCGCTCAGCTGGGGCCATGGAGGGGGGGGCAGGCACCTGCACCTGCCCACACCGCAGTGCCCTGGGAGGCCCTGACACCGTCTGGGGGTGGCCCGCACGGGGCTCAGGGCTGTCGCTCACTGGCCGAGCCCTCGGTCCCACCTGCGGCAGCACAGGTCGTCTCCGCTCCCTTCCCACCCCACCTGGCTCTCCTCTGACTAAGTGCGCGCTCACACCCACCTGGAGGCCTTGTTGAGTGAATTCTGACTCCGTCCACCTCGAGCAGATTTCCGCCAAGCTCCCGGGAGAGCTGCTGCAGCTGGTGCCGGCCACGCTCGAAGCCGAGCGATCTGCCCACTGGAGCCCGAGAGGCAGGACAGCCGGAAGCAGGAGGCGGCCCCGCGAAGGTCGGGTCTTGAGTTTGGCCCTGTTCGGTCCTGGAGCCCGCGACCCCTTCCCATGGTGCAGCGCCAACGTGAGCGCTTCCAACGGAGCGCCAGGCCCTGGCCCCCTGTTGCTGACTCAGTGGGTCCAGGACACAGCCTGAGAATCTGCACTTCTGGCGAGTTCCCTGGAGAACTCTCCACGCGCGCCATGGACCCCGGAGACCCGCCGCTGTCAGTTAGACAGAGCCCGCCCCTACAATCCGATCTGCAGGGCGCCAGATGTCCCGCAAGAGGCTCCCCGCCCCCGATCCAGTGGCAGCCTTGTGCCCACCTCTGCGGCTCCTCACAGCAGCTGCCCAGAAAGCGCTAGAGCAGTGAGGAGCGCAGGGCTGGACGCTGCTGTGGACAGCAGTGCTGAGGCGTGCGCAGTGTCCCACAGGTTCACATCAGCCCCCGGGGGCTCAGAGCAGGAACTGGGCCCAGGCAGGCCAAGCAGGTGGCTTGCGGGGACCAGCCTGGGCATCATCCCTTCCAAGGCTGCAGTACCATGCAGCTTCCTGCCCCGCTCTGCCTCTGACAGGGCCCAGAGCGGGCAGGCCCCAGCAGACAGAAAAAGGAGGCCGCGCAAGGGCTCCCCTGGATGCGGCTCCTGCGGCTGCGGTCACACAGCCCCACGACGGGAATTTGCCCCTGCACCTCTGGAGGCCAGGGAGGCACAGGCCAGTCTCCCTCGGCAAAGACCTTCCTGCCCCTTCCAGTGCTCACGGCCGCGTCGGTCCCACCGCTGCTCTGTCTCACACGGCTTCTCCTCTTTGTGTCTGAGGGCACCTGCCACTGGATTTCGGGTCTGCCTGGGGGACCCCGGACAAGCTCGTCATGAGGCCCTTTTTCTAAATCCCGGGCTCCATGGCGTGGCAGGGGCCATGCATCCGTGTAGCAGCAGTGAAGGGCTGCGGGGACCTTCTGGGAAGTGGGGACTCCCTGGGCCAGGCCACGCTGGATGGGGGTGTGGGGCCCGGGCGTTGGAGACCCTGGTCAGGGCGGAGCGGGCAGGGGCCTCTGTCCACACACCAGGCCTTCAAACGCTCAGTGAGGCCACGGCGGGGAGGGCAGGGCTGTGGGAGGAGGCTGTGGGGGGGCCAGCGCCTAGCCCAGGCTGGGGGCTGGGGAGGGGTCCACGCTGTGTTCACGTGGCTCTGCCAGGCCTTCTGAGCTGCCCAAGTCCCTCACGCCCCCCCAGACCTGGCCTCTTGAGAAGCGCACGATCCTTCCTCGGGCTTTGTTCTCCTAATCTGGCTCCGGGCCGGGGGCTTCCCTGTCCCTGCCGTGGGTCCCTCATTAGCTGCCCATTAATGTGCATGACTTAGAAATTGGCCACTGGGCTGTGAAATTCCAGGCAAGGAGGAAAACCTCTTAAATCGGAGAGACTTTGATATCCACCCTCTGCCGGCACCCCCGGGGCGGTGACCTTTCCCAAGCTGTGGAGGGCACCCTGTGGGGGCCCATCTGCAGTGGGCGGGCGGGTGGCCACCCCCGGCTCAGCCCAGCTCTGCCAGGCCGGCAGCAGCGCTGGGCAGAAGACCCGGGATACACAAAGGTGCACCTGTGGGGCCTGGTGGAGGCGGCACGGCCAAGGCTTAGTGGGGCTCCCAGCCGGGGGCCACCCATCCCAGACCTCCCCAGAGAAGGCGGCGGAGGACAGGCTGGGGGCTCTATGGCAGAGGGGCTGGAACTCACTTCCCCACACCCCTTAGGGTGTGGACAGTGACCGAGACACTGGTGGCACCGGTGGGGAGAGCCCACGCACGGAGGGAGGGCTGTGCGTCAGCCGTCAGTGACAAGACAGAAGCACCGGTCCCAGGCGCTCCCTGCTTCTGGGCTTCCTTTGGCCCAGGTGGGTCTTCTGGGGCAGCGTTCCAGCCCCCCAGGAGCTCCTCGACCTACGGGCGCCAGCCCCGTCCCCGGCTTTGGACTCCACTGGCCTGAGGGGGCAGGCCCTAACGCCCCCTCAAGAATCCACCGTGCTGTGAGCGTAAGCCCAGGTCACCGCTGTTCGGAGCGGGCATGGTCCCCAGCGGGCCGCTCTGTGCCTTGCCCCCCCCCCCCCCCGGAAGCTTAATAAACGCCAGTGCAGCAGGAGCTGCGGCAGCTCACTGGGAACCACGGGACACGAGCACCTGACGGCGGCCCCACACGGTCCACTCTGCACGAACTCAACGTAAGAACCCGAAATGGGCGGGGAACTGGGCCACCCAGGGGAGCCCTCCTGTCACCAGGGTGTCCCCATCACAGGGCCCAGTGGCATCACCGCAGCAGACAGCAGCAGGCCGGAGCGACGTGTGTGAAGGTGCAGGCAGGGCCGCGTGCCGCGGGCTCTGGGTGGCCTCTGGCAGCTGGGAAAGCGAGGAATCCGAGCTCCCCTGGGGCTCCCAGAGGGCATGAGCACACTGACGCCCGACTCAGCCCCGGGACGACGACTCTGCACCCCCCACTTCCAGAGCCGTGGCGCACACACGTGTTGCCCTAACCCCCATGTGCGCAGACTTGTGAGTCCTGCCCTGTGGCTCCCCTGGGCCTGCAGGTGACTGCCCAGGGCACAGGCCTTGCCAGGTCCCACCGGCCCCTCCCTCTCTCTCGAGGGGCTGGTTCTCCAGCGTCGCCGTCACGAGCCCCCGAGTGCAGGTGAAGGCAGGAAGGCATCTAAAGCCTGGGGGTGACAGGAAGTGCTCTCAAAACCACGGTCAAGTTCACTCTCGTCCTGCCCCCTGGGGGGGGGGAGCCTGTCAGCAGCCACGGCCCTGACCCCTTGGTCCAAACTCACACACTGGCCTGTGCAGCCAGCCTCTCCCAGCCTGCACCGCCCCCCCCCCTTCAGCCCTCCGACACCGTCCCACCCGGTGGCTTTACGCAGTCACGGCGCCTTGCAACACCCCGCTATGTGATTCCAGAACACGCATCGCCCCTTCCCCCAGCCCCTGGCAACTGCTAACCTACTTCCTGTCTCTAGGGACGTGCTCAGCCTACACACCTACAAAGGGGAGCACGCAAGACGAAGCCTTTCACATCCGGCTTCTTGCACTCGGGCCAGCGTTTTAAAAGCGCATGCACACGGCGGCACGGGGCACGAGTTCACTCCTCTGCGCAGGGAGGCGCAGGCCAGTCACCCAGGCTGGACCTGTGAACTGTGACACCAGCAGCCCAGCTACGACGGGCACCCACAGGGTTCTGTCGGAACGCCTGGAGGTGTTCGTCCGGAGGCGGATGCTTGATTGCCTGGAATCTGCCACGGGGAGCTCTGAAAACAGCCTCCCAGGCCCATCCCAAGGGAGAGATGCCGTGAATCTGGGGCGAGCCCTAAGACCTATTTCTTACCTTCCCCGCAAACGAGAGCACACGAAACCGTACCGAGCTGACGTCCGCTTCAGCGGGAGGCACCGGCCGGAACCGCCACTCACACTTCACTGTGTGGAGGATGCTGACCGGGGAGCCCTCGCCGCTCCATTCTGTGGCCAGGACGTCGACCCCTAAGTAACTCCCATGACTTTCAGAGAGGGTGCATCCTCCACCTGCCGTGGGGCCGGACCTGGGGGCTGGGCACGCTGCCTGGAACCTCACCGGCTCCCAGAGGCGCGTGCCCGGCCGGGGGCCAGTGCGGTCACTGCTGGGGCAGCGTACCAGGCGCAGCCAAAGGTTTTCAGAGCCACTGTGCACCGGACCTGCTCCCAGGTGAACAGGGGACGGACAACTGCGCACGCAGAGAGCAGCAGACACGGGGATCCTGGACAGGGGCAAAGGGCACCGCAGAAGCCGCCGTGTGCATCTCCCTCGGCACACAGCGTCCGGAAGCCTCCCCAGCGCGGCCCCGCGGCGGCTGCTTTTCCATGCTGTCTTCATAGACTTGCCTTCGCCACCAGCTGTCCTGCTCTGCCCTTCCCCTGCCTCGGCCTGGACACTGCCTCTCTCCCCAGACCCACGTGGCCCCCGGTCACCAGCACTGGGGCCTGAGCAGTGTCCAGGAACGCACGTACTCTGGGTGTAGACCAGCTGTTTGACAGCACGAGGACAAAGCTGGTGGTGACCACAAGTGTGCGCAGACAGCGAGCTGCAGAGCCGGCCAGAAACCCTCCGGTGGGCGCAACAGCAGAGACGCGCCCTGTGTGGACTCCAAGTCCCCAAGCAGACAGGCAGACACAAGGCCGCGCTGCCGCTGGGGACCTGATCCCCAGCTCAGAGCTCCTGGGTCTGGAACTTCAACCCACACCACACCCCTGCCGGGCCAGGACCCCATTATGGTGAAAGCCAAAACACTGATTCACACAGAGAAGGTTATTTCTTTCATTCAGCAGTTTGCCAACACTAAAACTGGGGAGGTCTTACGTAATTGAGATTTTAGGCTTCTCTTAAAAGCTCGGCCATCCAACACAGGGCCCTGGGTGCTAGAGGCTCCCAGCGCACCACCCGTCGCTGTCCCATGACACCCCGGTGACCCTGGCTGTGAGCGCTGGACGGTGACTGCGCCCGGGAGAGGCCTGGCAGGGAGACAAGAGTCCCGGTTCCTCATCCACAAGAGGAGAAGTGGCACCGGGACCACGGCCTCGTGCCGGGACACGCAGGCTGCCTGGCGGACACCACACACGGGCACTTCGGGGCTGCTGATTCCGCGCCGGGCAGCGGGCGCTTCCGGGGTCCTCAGTGAACGAGGGCAGGGAGCACAAGGCTTCCTCAGACAGCGCCTCCCAGGTCCCGCACGCAACAGCAGCTGGCAGCCAGGTAAACCTGCGAGTCGCCCACCTGAGCTGCCCGGGACGCGAGGTCCCCAGTGGGAGGCGGGGCCTCAGGGCGCCTCCCTCTGCCCACGAGCAGCCGTAGTCAGCACCCACTCTCCTTCCAGGCGGGGCCGTGCCGGGGGGGCTGGGCATGTGGCCGGCGTGCAGGGAGCACACACTCTCCTTCCAGGCAGGGCCGTGCCGTGCGGGCTGGGCGTGTGGCCGGTGTGCAGGGAGCACCCACTCTCCTTCCAGGCGGGGCCGTGCCGTGGGGGCTGGGCATGTGGCCGGCGTGCAGGGAGCACACACTCTCCTTCCAGGCAGGGCCGTGCCGTGGGGGCTGGGCGTGTGGCCGGCGTGCAGGGAGCACACACTCTCCTTCCAGGCGGGGCCGTGCCGTGGGGGCTGGGCGTGTGGCTGGCGTGCAGGGGGCACACACTCGGGTCAGGCCGCCTCGGCGGGGCCAGGGCTCCTCAGCTCCCACACCTGACGCATGGCAACCAAGGACAGGGGGAACCTGACGTCACCGAGATGAGTCTTCAGGCTTCCGAGGATACCGCGGGGAGACTGAAAGGACAACCCACGGCGTGACAGAAACTACTCACATGTCAGGCACCTGATACGGGACAGGGACCAGGGACAAAGAGTTCCGACAGCTCCGTAATCAAAAGATGAATGACACAACTCAGGGATGGGCAAAGGCTCTGAACGGCCGCTTCTCCACAGGAGACAGGCAGACGGCCGGAGACACAGGAAGAAACGGCCGCCATCATTACTGCTGAGGGCGCGGCGAGCTGCAACCATTCGACCCCCGCTGGGGGGCAGCACTGGGCACCGGCCAGGATGTGCCATGACCAGCTCTGGCGCACAGCTGGCAAACCGCACACCAACGCGGCTGCTGTGGGAAAGCCCGGCGACTCCTCAGAGGGCGTTCCCAGATGTGCGGGCACGGCCCGAGCTCACGGAAAATGCCTCGTATCCTTTAGTTCCATTTTCCCGCGGACTTCCTGGACCACCCTCATCTACTTGGCAGAAATTAAAAGCTAACGTTCACACAAGACCTCGCCCACAGCCATCACAAACCGAGACCGGCTCCCACGTGTGCACAGCCGGGTCACACGTGCCACGCCCGGGGGCCCGGGAGGTGCTGAGCTGGGCGCGGCATCAGCTGCAAAGGACCACGCGTTGCAGGGGCCCCTGAGCGGACACGGCCAGGACAGGCAGATGCAGACTCACAAGGCAGGGACGCGAGGGCAGCGGGAGGGGAGGGCGGGGTAGACGAAAACCTGCCACCCGATGAACACAGGAAAACCACTCAGCTGTATGCTTTAAAATGGAGAATTTTATGGTATGTGAATTTTATCTCAATAAAAAAGGGACAGGCTGGTTCAGAACTCATTCCAGGTTGTCATCAAAGAGAAAAGCAGGAGGTGGAAAAGACCCCAGCGCAGGCCCGTCAGTGTCACACAGGGGATGCCGTCTTCACCCACAACGGTGAAATCAAGATCCCCAATTACAAAACATGATGGCAGTGGACAGTTATAAAAATAAAGCGAAGGTCTATGTTTCCGATTTGTGCAGGTTTCCTCAAACCAGTCTGTCGCTCATCCAAAAGGAGATCATGGAATCTGTGTTCTTCCGCGACGACGTAATAGTAAAAACCTGCATTCCACTGACACAAAAAATAGCTTTGCTTCCAAATAGCACAAGTCTTTAAAGTGACTTTTCCCCAACAATAAATATAGAAAACAGCCATTAACAAGCAGACTTCAGCTTGGTCAGGGCGTGCCGCCGGTCCGGAAGTGCGTCTTTCCCCTCAGGCGGGCAGCGCGGCCGCCTCGGCAGCTCCCCCGGGTCTTTGGTGCTCACAGCTGCCCGGCGTGAAGCCACCTGAGGCTGAGCCATGGAGTCCCTCCGGCTGGGCCGAGCATCACAGGACGGGGGGGCTCATTCGGCACGGCCGCTGGAGCCCTGCACGGAGGCGGCCCTCACAGCTGCACCTGCCCATGGCGGCTCGCATGGTCAGTCTCTGGTCACACCGACGGGGTCTTCGGGGGGTGCACCTGCTGCATGAGCTGGGGGCGCTTCACCCTGGGCTTCCTCCGCTTCGGCCTGCTCTTGGCCTTGTTGATCTGTACCACAAAGAAGGCCAGGACCACCATGGCTCCCAGGAAGGCGAAGACAGGAATGGTCTGACCCACTTCCTGGTTATAGCGGCCAGGCATGATCCCTGCAAGAGGACAGCCAGTGAGCGACCCGTGTAATGACCCACAGCTCTGCCACCTCGCTGGGCGAGCCGAGACTCATGAGAAACTAA